ACCAAGCTCTGAATTTGCACTTGTTCGATTTCTTCTCTTCCTAAAGACCTCATGGTATAAAGACTCTCAACTCACCTGGGAGTTCTCTTTTTTTTTTTTTTTTTTTGAGAGAGTTTTTGTTTGTTTGTTTGTTATAGGGCATATGCGCTCACCAGGAAGACGGAGAGAGACAGAGAGACAGAAAGCGAGAAATCACCCTCCCCCCCCCCCCAGGGGGAGATGGCCACGCCGCAATCCCTTCTCCTCCATTCTCCTCTTGGGATCCTGGACATGCACACACATGCACCCGGCGTGAGTTTAAGCCACTGGGTCCAGGACTCAAGCCACGGTCGACTACATGGGAGTCCAGCAACATAGCCATTGCACTAACTGCTGGTCCCAGGAGTTCTCGAAGCTCACAGTTCCAAATCCCAAAGATTTGGAGAGGTGTTTACAGATTTCATTGAAAGTTTATACCTTATGTTCATCATTTCTCTTCAAGATTCCATCATTCTGTTTTTGAGGAGTTTTCAAAAAGTACAGGAAATGTATGTGATTAAACAGTTATATATGAATTTTGCAAGTTTTTACACTAAAAATGCATTTTAATTCATTTTATACCAACTTTTTGAAATGCCCTCATATATTGAGTATAATTCACAGGTATATAATCTTAATAGTCTTGATACTTAATTACCGTTTAGTAAGAATAATGTATTTTCATTCCATTTGTTGCTTGTTAATACCTCACCACTTTGAAATGATATTTAAGAGAGCTTTCAATACAGAAAGATACTTCCCACACAAAATTCTCTAAAGCAAAAAAGGAAAGAACATGAACCGTGGGATGAAAGCCAGGGGTTAATGATGGCAGAAGCCTAGCAGGGAGACGTGTCTCAGACAAGTTGCAAAAGGAAAGTGGTAGGTGACTTATTTTGGACTCACTGGGAGCTTGTCAAGTAAGGAAAACAATGGTGTCTTATTTTCTAGATGTTTGGAAAATTAATCACTTTTACAATCAGAACATTTAATCCTAATTCTAATTAATTATAGAATTACAAATTATAATTTCGTTCTACTTCATCATTGGCTTTGAGTGTATAATAATTAATTGCTGAAACAATATATTATCATTTGCCTGGAAAATAAAGGAGGAAAGTAACTTAAGCTTCTGTACAAGCATAATATTAATGTTCTCTTTTGTTCTTCCAAAAACAAAGTTTTGTCTTTCCTTCTAGTGTTAAGTATAATAGGAATGCCATGCAGTTTCTTGTATTGAGAAGCGTTAAGTATGAAAGGACTTCAAAAAGTTTATGGGAGGTCCAGTAGGGAGCATGGTGGTTGAGTATCTGGACTCCCATGTGGTTGACCACAGTTCTAGTCCTGGACCTAGTAACTTGCTTTCTCACTTTCTCTCCCTTGCTCTCTCTACCTCCCTCCTCTGGTCAAATTAAATAATAATAATAATAATAATAAATTAAATTAAATAATTCTTCTTTTAAAAGTTGTTGGAAAGTTGGAATTAAAGTATGGGTTTATTTAGGTGCAAAAAAAAATTTGAAATATATGCATAGTTTTTTCATAATACACTTTCCGTGAACTTCCTTGAAGTTCTCTTGTGTCTTGTATAAAAACAGTCTTCATAGTTATCCTTTTACTCACTCTCTAATATGCCATTAAATTAATGTTGCTGATTTCATTAATCATTTCTCTGTTGTTGGACATCTAGGCCACTTCATATTTTACAGTACAGACAAGGATTATAATGAGTAATTATTTCAGCTTTCAATTTAATCATGATTTATGATATAGCTATTCAAGTACTTTTCACTAAAAATCTTTGTCCAGGGCCAGTTGGTGACTCGGTGGTTAAAGGAGCTAGGTCTCACATGTCTGACTTTATGGTTTGAGTCCCAGACCTGGAGGCTTGAAAACCACAATGGAGCAGGTGCTTCCATGCTCAAAATCACAAAAGGAGGGCGAGAGGAGAGGGAGGGATGGCAGTGTCACCATGCCCGATGAGGAGTGCTTTCTCCACACACCCCCAGTCTCTCCCAAGAAAGCACACATGTGCTCCGGCAAAAGTGTCTAAAACAAACAGACAAACAAACTATATGCACAAAATAAGCTTCTTAAAGGCAGAAGAACCTACTTTTCAATTTCCTTTTCCCCAAAATGTCGTGTCTTCAATTAAGTACTTTCTCAATCGAATAGTCAACAGTGTATGTGACTCAGAAGTGGCTGAAATAGATGGCCTTTGATGTCTCTTCTAAGTTGGAAAGGAAAAGAAGTCTTCCAAAAGTTCGCAGGAAAATGTGCACGGTAAAAACTTAGGCACGGATTGCCATTTTCTGGTACCAAAATAAACCTGTACTTTATCATTTTCCACAAACTTTTGGAAGTCCCCTAGTCCATGACTTGAATACCTAACCTCAAAACAAACAAACCTTAAATTTTAAACTTAAATACTTAACACATGATCCAAAATAGGGCTTCGGAAAACCAGTGAGCAGTCCTGGGGGGGGGTGGGTAACAGCAGCAGTCCCACCCCTCCCCCCACGCCCCGCCCCCCACCTCCTGTTCGCGTTGCTATTTGGAGTTCAAGCACAGGGAGAAGCGCTGTCTATTGATACTGCTCTGAATACAAATCCGTGCTGTAAACGTGTGATCCGCCATCTACGGGCAGAAAGGGACCCTTGTCTGTTACTGTGTGCAATTGTCGCGTGCATCTGTGCGCTCACTTAAAGCCCATCTGTGCCCTCGCCGCCACCCAGGGAAGTCAGGTGCTCAGAGCAGCCTGCTGGGGCACAGGAAGCAGAAAAGCGTCACTTTTAAACATTAGGCGTGATATTCTTTCCCCCAATCAAGCCGTGATTACTTAAGATGCATAGTTACAGCAACGCCTAGAATCTCTTGTTTTAAAAATTTACTCTCTGATTTTTTGGGGGGAGGGGGTAGAAACTAAAACATATATTAGTGCTATCTTGGAAGAGTTGGTATTTTTCAGAGAGATGAAATCTGCACTATTTATGGGTTTTGCACTATAAAACTCTGCAGCCCAGTCACATGGTTTCTCTTTCCTAAGCCATCTGTCACAGAGGTCTGGAGTTTTATGTGAATGTTGGTTGTAAAGTCTTAACCCAAGCTTTTTTTTTTTTTTTTTTTTTTTTTTTGAAAAATGTTAACAACTAACATTTTATGAAAAATGTCAGCAACTACAATATTTAGCATTTTACTTTACGTTGGCCATTAAACTTGATGACTCTAGCTCCATTTCACTGCTATAGTGACAGACCAGCTTTGAAGCCAGAAATTGTTCTCATGCTCTCCTGGCAGAAAGCATGGTGAGGTCGTGGAGAGGCAGAGCGTGTGGCAGTGATATGGTTAATATCTTGGATTTTGTAACTAAGGTTTATTAATGCTGGTATAAAAATGTATTTGATATTATACAGATGGCATAAGATGTTGTGGTTACTAAGTTATTATCCCGGATAAGCTGTACTGTCAAATTCGGGGCTTAAAACTATCACGGGAGATTAAACTATTTACTAAAAAGGGACAGAAAGATATGGCCAAAGCATCTTAGTATAACATATCAGAAGTGTATTTACCTCCTGCAAATATAGTAAGCATATCTATCTCGTAGGCTGCGAGATTGGAAATATGAACAGGTTAAACAAGCAAATAGAAGAGGTGCTTGTATTTTATGAATCAGGCATGTCGGGGAGCCTGGCTAGTGCAGCCTTCAGCCCACCAGCCACTACTGGGGAGTGGGAGGATAGGAAAGGGGAGTTAAAATAAATGCCCTGGGAAGTGACTGACTGGTTACCACGGAGTGGGGGAGCTTGCGAACGACCGTATTTGAAGAAGACTCCTGCTTTGCCAGCCAAATGCAGGAGAGTTGAGATACCGTCAAGAAGTTGGATGATGATGGAAGTACCAGTGAGGTGTGATCTGTTTTGAAAAATGGCAGGCATGTGTTCCAACCCTCTGACGGTTCCTGTGCGGTGGCGCTCCCCAGTCATGACCCCGTTTAAGCCACCCTGCAGTACAGATCTTAAAGGGGACCGGTAGCAGGTGGACAATGTACTAGGACTTGAACCAAGTAGAACAGGAGATACATTCTTTCAAATGGTCCCACATGGTTGCCCATGGTCGGAGTTCTGGACCCGGCAACTTGCTTTCTCACTTTCCCCCTCTCCCATTCGCCGTCTCTCTCCGATGAATTTAAATAAAGAAATAAATCTTTAAAAATATATATATATATGCAAAACGAAACAACAAAAACCAAACGAGCATGTGAGGCAGGATTAGTTTGAAGACTTATTCCAAGTACCTGGAAAACAAGACACTTTTATTCTTAAGTTGTTGCTGCAGAATTTAAACCCCACAGAGACCCGCTATCAGCTCTCACCTAAAGACCCCCAGAGAGGAGGTTTGCACTGTTGGTCTCTCCCTCCCAACCCCCACAGTTCAACAAAGCTTTTCCGGTTCAAATAACCTAGGGTAAATTGTTGCTTTTGCATGAAGCTAATATTCTAATAAATAATTCTCTTCCAGCTGGTTATTTTTGCGTATTCTCAGATTAGATTAATATTCTGATGAGCGGGAGGGGAGCGTTGAGAAGTTGTGTGTGCCTTTTGATAAAAACAAGTGTTAATGCTTTAAATGATGAATGGGAAGTGATTATTCTTTAAACTAGAAAAGAAGATTTAAAGCTAAACTTTTCAAAATATATACATAAAACTGTTCTAGCCGATACATTCACAATAGAATTCAGAGCATCTTATGTTTACTAAGCTTACTTTGTTTAAACCCAGAAACATAAAGCTCCCTAATGGAGTCGTTCTTAAAAGTCAGCCTAAGACTTGAACATTAACCAATGCGAATCAGAAAGCTCTACTTAAAAGCAGATACACTGACATGAAAGCTTGGTTTAAAATGATCCCTTAAAAGCCCCACATGGCAGAGCCGTAACTGCAAACTGCTTAAATGTTTTTCTGTCTTTCATTGGAAACCAGGGGGCCGAGATAGAAGTGGATGAAAATGGCACGTTGGACTTAAGCATGAAGAAAAATCGAATCCTAGACAAGGCGGCACCCCTAGCTCCCTCTGTCACTTCTATTCCAACTCCGTCCTCTTCCCCGTTCAAGACGAGCAGCCTTCTGGTCAACGCGGCGTTCTATCAGGCTCTTTGTGACCAGGAGGGCTGGGACGCACCTATCAACTACAGCAAAGCGCACGGGAAGACAGAGGAGGAGAAAGAGGTACGGTGTCTCACGTGGGTCCCAGCTCGACTGCAGAGCATCTAGCTCTGCCCGCCCACATTACCCCCCGTGGGGCTGTTTACATCACACACAATCTCATGTCTTGTTGCAGATTGTGGGAAAGTGGTGGTTTTACTTTTCAGGTGAAATTTATCAACGAATTCAACTTTTGCTGTTGCTTGCCCATATGATGTGCTGGAGAATTTGCCCCAACAATGGCTGCAGTGTCGTGGCTTCAGGAGGGATGTTAGCACTAGGCCTGCATAGGCAGCCTGGGTGGGCACGCACACTCAGCACTGCTAAGTCAGCCTGGGTGGGGCATGCACACTCAGCACTGCTACGTCAGCCTGCTCCTCCTTCCTGAGCCGGGTGATCGACGAGGAACTCAAGTCAGGCAGAAGTAAGACCCTTCCCACCAGGTCGAACCTGTTGCCGTGGCTCACAAAGGGAGCTGGAAGGGTTTCCAGCACCGAAGCCAGTTTGTGACCACGCAGGAATCCACTCGGCTTTGTCTCTGCAGCTCGAGCTGCCCGCCTGGGACCGAGTGGCCATGGACTACTTGGTGTCGTTCAGAAGCACTCATGGCCGGAAGCTGCCATCAGTGAGACTGCGTGACTGCAGCTACGACCTGAGGGTTACCATCCGTGATCCTGTCTTGCCGCTGGTCAGGGAGTGGCTGAGGGTCTTGCCAGCTGATTTGTCTGAAGAGCTGAAACAGCCGTTCTCTGCAGACATGTGTGCCACCTTCCTCAGCTCTGTAGGCCAGAGACGTGGGGTCTGATTAGATCTTAGTCCACGCTTGAACATCACATCAACATCGATGTACGCAGTAGCAATCACAGGGCCACGTTGTTTCCACTTCCTCCCTCCCTTCCTCCCTCCTGCTCTCCCCCCCGCCCTCCCTCCTTCCTTCCCTCGCTTCAGCCTCCCCCCCCTTCCTTTCTTCCTTCTCTATGCACACTTACACTGGCATTTCCAAGTCCAGGCAGCGAGACATCCTGGAGACAGACGCTGTGGCCAACAGGACGCGCTCCTGCTCTGTGTGTGCCTCAGCACGTGTGTGCCGGGTCCAGAGGGAGGGCCGGCTGTCGCCAGACACACCGCTGAACAAGTGCATAGCAGACACACATGGACAGGAAGGATGGCTGCCCCGCGAGGGCGGCTGGGCGGGACTCTGGAAGACCCTGCAGGATCCAGGGCAGGCTCTGTGGGGCAGGCTCTGTGGCCACCACCCACACCTCGAGGAAGCACGAGGGGACTCATGTGACAGTGCTTTAGATGAGGTCCTGCCATGCTGGCCTTAGTCATTTATTCTGGTTGGCTTTTGACAATTCACCTAAGGTATCTAGGGATGGTCATAATTAACCCGTCACGAGACTACATAGAAGAACCTTTCTCTGGAAAATAACGCATGTGTGACTCACGATGTGGAACCAGCAGCTACGAAGTGTAAGTCCATTGACCTAGGGACGACGGAGGACTGGCCAGCGTGGTCCTGGCCCTCCACCGGGCTCTCCGCTGCCATCTCAGGCTCCTGCAGACAGCGGAGGTTGCACTGCAGCCTCTCCATAGCATCTAAGTTGGCCAGTCTTCCTCCTCCTTGGTCATTCTGCGACATGGAAGTCAGCAGCGAGCGAGGAAGCGGGCAGGGTGGCCGGAGGCACCGTCATCACGCAGTCACGGTTGTTGGTTCGTCCCAGTACGTCCGGGTTAGCTCTAGAGAGGGGACGTGCCTTCCAGTTCCTGGGACCGCCAGGCCTCCCGCCAGTCACCTGCCAGTCAGACCACGGCACACAGCGCCTGCACCCCGACAGGGACACCTGCCTCTAGATCCAGTGCTGGGGGCGTGGGTGCAGCAGAAGTCAGCGTGCTCCATGAAGGACAGCACTTCCCCTAGGGACTGGTGGTGTGCTCCCTCTGCAGGCCTACAGGGACGAGGTCCTGAAGGCGCTCTGATTCCAGGGCGCATCTCTGTGCCGAGTGCTGAGTGGCTCTTAGGCCTTCTGTCCTCATTCCTGTGACTGAGCCGTAAATGGCCCGTGGCCCGTGCACGCACCAGAAATCCTCCTCAGGACCTGATTCTGAGCAGTAATGAACGGAAGTGCCTCCAGCGGTTCCTCATTTCTGTTTCGGGCTCTTGCATAGCCTGGCTGGCATGGCTTATCCTGGTGTCCCTCTGCAACTATGCCAACTTGACACGCTGTGTGTTCTCAGACAGCTCCCTCAGCACCTCCTCGGCTATACTTCTTGTCACCCCGAGAGCAGGAAAAAGAGGCCTTAAATATTTTATCTTCACTTTCCTATTGTGCTTCTTTCATCATTAAAAAAAAAAAAAATCCGGGTTCATCCTGGTAGTTTTATTAATTCAACTGGAGTGCTTTTTTTCTAATGGGTATAGATCTCTGACAGTGTTTCTTTTCCCAGCAAATTCAGAGGGAAGAAAAAAAAAAGTAGGTTTCTTCAGAACAAATGTGTGCTTTTGTCAGAACGGCTTCCTCAGGTCTGACCACAGTCTTTTACTGAGCAATCTGCAACCTCCCTACTCTGAAGTCTGAATTTTAGGCGTGAGGTGAGAAGTCAGCGTCCCTAGGAATAACAGAAGACTTGGGAGGTGTTCAGCGCCTTGGACCCCGAGTGCTCGGTGCTCGTCCTGGGGCTGAGCTGACAAGGCGTGTCTTAGGCTGAGCGCGTCCTGGCCGCAGCTCTTTGAATGGGGCGGCGCGTTGCTCGGGCAGCTGTAAGTGACAGGGACACGCAGTCTCGGAATCCTTGGAACTCCGTGGCACCACGTCTCGCCGTGTTCTTCGTCCTCTCATCGGTGCCAAGGTAACCTGCTAGCAGAGAGGATCGCCCACCCCTGCTCGGGGCCGGGCTGGGACGATGGGAAGGAGACTGCGTTCAGGGAAGGAACGGGGAAACTCTGAGTGCAGGTGGAGCACAGGCACGGCGACACTGTGGCCAGTCAGAATAAAGACAAGGCGTGTGCACACGGTGTCCGGCTACCCCACGATCCTGCCACGCAGGGCTACTAGCACCTTTCTCACAGGAGAAAACTGACGCTGTGGGACATGAGGTCGGTGGGCCTACGATGTAATATAGAAATTGACAGGCTTGGAATTTCCTAACATGACAAGAAAGGAGAAGGGGGGAAATCACTCAGAATAAATGGAGACGATTTACGAACTATTGATAAATAGCAGAGGGAATGAAGCGGCCTGTGGAATGAGGTGGAGCAGATGCTGTCTAGCGCCTCGGAGAACGCAGGACCCGTCTCCTCTGCACCAGGCAGGGCCACAGGGTGCCGTGACCATGAGAACCAGTTCTAGGACTGCTTCGTTCTGGTCAGTCTCCAGTGAGCTCCACTGGGGTAGCTCCCGGTGGTCCGGACAATATGCCGGGAATGTTTCACGAGCAGAGCGTGACATGTCCCCTGCTCCCAGGACACCTCCTTCCTCAGCCCCCTCCCCCACACTCACCACCCTGACACTCACAACCAGAAATCAACTGATTATTTCTAATTCATTGTTATCTAGCTCATATGCCCAACAGTTGCTTAATTTGGGTGGTAATTTTCAGAAAATATTGTCTGTCTCTCTCAGTGAAATAGCCTGTCCAGATGCCCCCTAAAAAAAAAAAAAAAAATTCCTGAATCTGGAAAAAATTCAAAATATCTCCAAAGGAAAGTGCCGAGAAATAACTAGGGCTGTCAGTTTCATTCGACTGTCAGTTCTCCAAAGATTTCAGGGCTTCAAATGTTAAAAGTGCCAGATGCTATTATCTGTTATTCATGTTACCATTATGTTCCGGTCTTTACTGGAATCAGTGTAAATGTCCATCTGTACATTAAAAGAATTTCACCGACGCGTGTACTCTCTAACGCACGCGTGCCACGGCCTCTTACACAGACACAGGATCAAATTACTATTTTTAAATGATACTTAAAATTCGGGGGGAAAATGCTAGTGATGTATCCTGCATTTAAAAATCATCTGATATAAAATTATTTCATAACAAAACCGATCAAAGAATACCCTTGGGGTGGTCACCTGTGTTTTAATACATATACTCTGCAAGTTTCCAAAGGTAGAATGTTGAGCAAATAAAAGCCAAAAAGATTATTATTTTATAAGGTAATCACATACGTAACAGTCTATAGTTAAAAAAAAGTTAAACGTACTTAAAAGGTCTAATGAAATTATCCTGTTTAAGCATTATCACATATTACACCACATTAAATACCATGTAGTCTGCAAGCTTTATGCTGTATGCATTTTACTCTAATCATGATCTAAACTTGCAGAATGCATCAATTTGTTAAAATTCCCCATTCTTTTTTGCCTTCCATAATAATACAGACTCAGCCTTCAACCAAGAGCTGAGAACTTTTATAGTTCAAGTTGCCATAAATTTATATGGTTTCGTAGATAGTCTGTTCTTAACCTTATTAGAAAAATAATAAAATGAAAGAGCCATTTCTTTTTACTTTGTTCCATTTTTGTGAAAACCTTAGCCTCTAAACAAAAAAACAAAGGCTGTTCCACACTGAGGAATATCGGATTTAGCATTCGTGTGTACTTTCCAAAAGCCAAGACATTTCTAAACTCTAGCGGGACATACTATCCCGGCCAAATCCAGATAGTACCAAATGGAGTGGACAGTGCAACTGCCAGGTTTAGGGTCTTCAGTTACGATTGTTTCATTTTAGCCATTTGTACTGTCCGACTTGCAGGGCAGAGCTTCGACCATGTCTTCCTGCAGGTTGTGCAAAGGCAGCTCAGCACAGCATTCTGCTTGCACCCCCGCAGGCAAGCAGAACGAAGCACACGCTTCTCTGTGTATACATGGTGTATTTTTACCAGCCACTGTTTCCCAACATCTATCAGTAAAATAGAAATGAAATATTTAGCACTGTAAATGATACATAGAAGAAAATCTACAAAACCAGGCTCTAGTCATGTGATCTGAAGATAATGTCACTTGAAATAACTTCTCAATATATTTACTACAGAATGCTCTTATGCAAAATAGTTGAATTCTTAGCCAAACAATTCATGAAAGAAATTACGGGGACCAGCAGTTGGCGTAGTGGCTATGTCACTGGACTCTGTCAACTGCGGTTCGAGCCCCGGACCTGGTTAAACTCATGCTGGGCACATGTGCATGCGTGCCCTAGATCCCGAGAGGAGAATGGAGGAGAAGGGATTGTAGCGTGGCCATCCCCCTGGGAGGTGGTTTCTCGCTTTCTGTCTCTCTGTCTCTCTCTGTCTTTCTGGTGAGTGCATATGCCCTATAGCAAAAACCTCTCCCCCAAAAAAGAAATTACATTTGCTTTAATGACTGAGATCAATGTTTAGACTGTCTTTCTGACTGAAAAAAAAAATCCAAGGGTTTTGTTTTCCATTGCTTTTGAATATAGACTCAGATTTATTAAAATTATATTATGCTGTAGCATTTTTACATCCATTTCATGTGAATGTGATTTACTTTGAACAATTCAGAACAGTTTACTCACCTTAAATAGACCAGTACTTTTGAGATTTAGAAAATAGTTTTCTATATTAGTTAATCTGATTTTAATATTAAATCCAGGAAGTATTATATTTGCTGGATATAAGCTTCATGATGAAAGCAAGCTAATTCTGTGACTGAGGAATACCATCCTTAGTTTCCGGTGAGATAATGTATCACATGGTAAATAAATTATTTGCCAGGATTAGTGAGTCTTTCTTATTGGATCCAGATCAGTATTAAACTTAAAAGAAGGCCATGAAAATTAGCGAGATCCAACAAAACATTCAATACGTCTACTAAAACCATTACAAGATACCAACTTCGCCAAAGAGGCAATTGAAGAAAGAAACAGGAAGCGATATGAAAATAAGAAAAATCAAATCACACACCTAACTACTGTAGCCCCAGTTGTTACGTATTTAAATAAATGGTTGAGATCTTAATTGTTTGAATATTTTAAACACATTCTGTTCATCTAAACTTCTCTTTTTTGGTGTAAAAATTGACATGATTTATTTTTCCAATATTTCTCTTGTTTTTCTGCTGGTATTACTGCTGAATATATGAAGAAATATTATTGCATTCTCTGGGAGGCATTCAATAAATCTCAAAACATACTATAATATTAACTTTATTATACAACTCAAGAAATGCCTCCATAATTTTAGCTGCTAAAATATATATTTTTAAAGGTATCTATTATAATTTCTTATTCTTCAAATAAAAGTCTATAACAATCAAGACACTCTTCCTATTCATGCAAATCCTATGAGCTATTTCAACTAAGTATTTAAGTCAAAACTCAAGTCCCACCTGATGACTTCCAATCCAGTTGTATTTCTAGTGTTCCCTAATGGCTTCTGTATGTCTACATATTCTTTCCAGAAAGACCCAGTGAACTCTCTAGAAAATTTAGAAGAAAAGAAGTTTCCCAGTGAGGCCTCTATACCAAGCCCCAAACCCAAGCTCCATGCAAGAGATCTCAAAAAAGAACTCATCACGTAAGTGGCGGCCACACCAGGCCCTGTGAGACACTGGGGTTAAGAGACTCGAGGTCACCGGTTGGGCTAGTGACGCCCTGGTGTACCCAGCAGACTTTAGGACTGTTCAGGGCGATTTCAACCAGTCAGCCATGAAATGTCAAGTGTAGACCTGAACCTGTACGTTGTATTACAGTGGCTATTTAGACAGCTAAGAGATCTAGAAATCTGCTGATTAAAAACAAAGATATGAGCCAGCAGGTGGAGTGGAGGTTAAGGTACTGGACTCCCATATGGCAAACTGCCCAGTTCAAGTCCTGGGCACATGTGTATGCATGCCCAGAATCCCAAGGGGAGAATGAAGGAGAAGAGATCGTGGTGTGGCCATCCCCTCTTGGGGTGGGATGACCTTTCTCTCTCTCTCTCTCTCTCTTGTTCTGGCAAGTACATGTGCCCTATAGCCAAAAAAAAAAACAAAAAACCCACAAAACAAAAACAAACAAATAAAAACAAAATCACTAAAAACAGGAAAAAAAAAAAAGAAAACAAAAAGATGATTAGAAATGCTTATGTTTTGACCAAATATTCTTAATCTGAAATTGATCCTCCCAGAGGGTCTAAGGCTTAGCTTCAGGAAGTCTGCTAAAGTTACAGAGCTTACAAAAAATCGTAAATCTTTCCTGGGGCTAAGAGGTCGTGGTTCCTATCACCCCCTTAGAGGGAGCTCCCGGACCAGAGCACCCAAAGGCAGTGAGTGCCTGTGACGTGTTAGTGAGTGAGCAGGTGAGATGCAGAAACCGTTTCCCATACATAATGACTAATACATGTTTTTTTTAGCTAGGTGGAGTTTTGCCCTAGGGCATATGTGCTCACTGTAAAGACAGACAGAAAGCGAGAAATCACCCCCAAAGGGGGATGGCCATGCTGCATTCCCTTTTCCTCCCTTCTCCTCTCAGAAATTTGGGCATGCACGCACCCGCACCTCATGTGAGTTTCAAGCCCTGGATCCAGGACTCGAACCACAGTTGACCATTTGGGAGTCCTGAACCTTATCTGCCAACACCACCTGTTGGCCCCAGTCAAGTATTTTTATATGCAAGTACATTTAAAACTGCCAGTTAATGTGAATTCCCAGCAAAGACGCCAATGCCTGTCCCCTTCTGTACCACTCAGCATAAAATATATTTACATTTTTACAATGAAAAAAAAAAAGAGAGAGAGAGAATGTACAAACTTTTGTAGACCCAGCATCCATGTCTGCCCTCTGTTTCCCCTTTCTGGGAGCTAACGTCCTCAGGAGAGCTGTCTCTGCACACCTCGGTTTCCATCCTGAGCCCTTCCCGGGCAGCCGTTGTCCTCCACCAACCTGTTTCTGTAAAGTTCTGCAGGAACCCTCCCCAGGCTGGTCCTGATGCGCCTGCTCCTATTTGAGGGCCTCGGGAGCCTCACTGTGGTGACGCTGCAGGCCATAAAACAAAAAGATGATTAGAAATGCTTATGTTTTGACCAAATATTCTTAATCTGAAATTGATCCTCCCAGAGGGTCTAAGGCTTAGCTTCAGGAAGTCTGCTAAAGTTACAGAGCTTACAAAAAATCGTAAATCTTTCCTGGGGCTAAGAGGTCGTGGTTCCTATCACCCCCTTAGAGGGAGCTCCCGGACCAGAGCACCCAAAGGCAGTGAGTGCCTGTGACGTGTTAGTGAGTGAGCAGGTGAGATGCAGAAACCGTTTCCCATACATAATGACTAATACATGTTTTTTTTAGCTAGGTGGAGTTTTGCCCTAGGGCATATGTGCTCACTGTAAAGACAGACAGAAAGCGAGAAATCACCCCCAAAGGGGGATGGCCATGCTGCATTCCCTTTTCCTCCCTTCTCCTCTCAGAAATTTGGGCATGCACGCACCCGCACCTCATGTGAGTTTCAAGCCCTGGATCCAGGACTCGAACCACAGTTGACCATTTGGGAGTCCTGAACCTTATCTGCCAACACCACCTGTTGGCCCCAGTCAAGTATTTTTATATGCAAGTACATTTAAAACTGCCAGTTAATGTGAATTCCCAGCAAAGACGCCAATGTCTGTCCCCTTCTGTACCACTCAGCATAAAATATATTTACATTTTTACAATGAAAAAAAAAAGAGAGAGAGAGAATGTACAAACTTTTGTAGACCCAGCATCCATGTCTGCCCTCTGTTTCCCCTTTCTGGGAGCTAACGTCCTCAGGAGAGCTGTCTCTGCACACCTCGGTTTCCATCCTGAGCCCTTCCCGGGCAGCCGTTGTCCTCCACCAACCTGTTTCTGTAAAGTTCTGCAGGAACCCTCCCCAGGCTGGTCCTGATGCGCCTGCTCCTATTTGAGGGCCTCGGGAGCCTCACTGTGGTGACGCTGCAGTCCATGCCTGCCATTGGCCTCTAGCACACCGCCCTGCGGACTTTCTCCCAGCTCTGTTTTCCCTTCCTGGGCTGGTGCCCTTTAAAGATGGGCTCCATGCAGGGCGTAGGGGCTCCTCTGTCCCCCGCAGCTCCTGCTGGTGCCACCCAGCCTTGACCTCCAGCCGCCGTCCTGGACCCTGGGTGCTGGGCTCCCAGCAGCAGCTCCGCTCCCGGTCTGCCCAGCACGCCTCAAATGCTTGTTGCTGTCCCTCCTCCCAGCACACTGTCCCCATCGGCCTCTGCACGTGGCATCTGCTCTCCCTCACTCTTCTCTCAAATGTCACCTACCCGAGAGGCCTAAGGGCCACTGAGGTCCCACCCTGCCTGATACTCCTACCCACTTCCAGATCTTTCCTTCCCATGCAGGGCCATCTGCAGGGTGTGTTCATTCGTCTTCTCCCCTGACTTGTCCCCTGCTTCCCCCGTCAGTGTGGAGGCCCCAGGAGGCACGGCGCTCTTCTTCCCTTTATCTTGTTTTCCTTTCCTCTTTTTAAGTTTTTTGTTTTTGTTTTTGTTTTCATGAGTGAGAGAGGTGAACCCCCAATAGGGTCCAGATGTCCCCCCAGACCCCGCCAGCCCTAGCTCCTGGGCACATGCACACCCAGCACACTCAGGGAGGTCTCCGGACACGAACTGCAACCCTCCCAGGTGAACAGCCCCGCGGAGCAGCCCCAGCCACGTGGCCATGTCACTGGCCCTCATCTCCCCAACGTCATGGGCAGTGACCTGGGGCCAGAGAGCACATCTCGAATGCTGGGGCCAAGGAAGGGCTGGCCCGGAGTGCGTCCTCCGCGAACAGCGCTCCGTGCAGCATCTGCTTGCGTGGTCACGAGTGTGCTTTTTAAAGAAGCCTGGGCTCTGTATTCTTTACGAGTTTCACAGGCAAACGTCAGGGGCTCAGACCTCGCGTTCCCTTAGGAGTCAGTGTGCACCTGGTGGTGGTTGACACACGACAGATGGCACAACACAGGGACTCGGACTTCCCGGACACTTTCTGTCCCAGAGGCCACGCAGGTCAGCTGCGCTGCGTTCCCACACGGCGTGCTGCTCCAGCCTTTCTTCCTGATTCAGATCTCCTCCCAGGTGTTATTTTAATGCCTTCAAAAATGGCAACTCTGCATCCTTTGAAGGTAACTCACTGGACTTGGCCAGAAGTCACTCCAAACTGACTGCAGCATACAGGGCTGACAGGTGCACTGCTCACCGTCTGGGGCTCGAACGTGAAGTGGGATTATTTGGCAGTGGGCGCTTCTCATGATGCCGACGTGAATCTAGAAGGGGAGGAACTGTGAACAATTATGGGATCATAATCATGATTCTTAGGAGACTTACTGTCAGAGACTTCGCACGTACACATCTGACAGGCGGGGCGAGTACGTGAATGGGCACCCCTTCGCGGTGTCTGCGGTGGGCACGCCCCTCTACAAGGCTTGCCGCTTTCCAGGTCTCCGGGCAGTGCATGTCTCTGGGGCTTCTACCAGGCGATTTAACTTACCAGAAACTGTTGGGTTAGAATAGGATTTTTTTTTTTTTGAGATTTTTGCTATAGGGCACATGCACTCACCAGAGAGACAGACAGAAGGCCAGAAATGACCCCCAAAGGGAGATGGCCACACTGCAGTCCTTTCTCCTCCATTTCCCTCTCAAGAGTTTGGGCACGCATGTACACATGCCCGTCGTGAGTCTCAAGCCCCAGGTCCAGGATGTAGCTACAGTCAGCTACTTTGGAGTCCAGAGCCTTAATCCCTATTCCACCTGCTGGCTCCAGAATAAGATTTTTAAACATCGATTACCCTAGAATCTTCTTAGGGTGCAAATGCCATTTTCTGAGAGAACCAACTAGTTTCCTTTCTGGAGTTCTGGGTTTTTTATCTGTAAACCTTCTCGGAAGATGAAGGGACTTCAAAAAGCTTACGGTAAAGGGGATTAAAATATAAGTTTATTTTTGTACCAAAAAAAAAGAGAGAGAGAGAGACTAATTGAAATCCATGCAGTTTCCTGTCATGCGCATTTTCTTTGTCCGTCACCCAGTTTTCATGTCGGATTTTTTCCTGCAGACTTGAAACTCAATCTAGCTATCAGAATAAACAGAAATTCTTCCCACTACAATGTTATTACTAATTCTTTCTTTCATTCTTGACCACTTTATGCCACCAAACTTAAAAATTTTAATTAATTTAATTAAGCCAATTAAGTTAATATTTATTTTATTTTATAAGTGAGCTCTTAGGCAATATTAATGGAAGTAATTAAGAAATAGAAGTAAACTAAAAGAAACGCACTGCTGTTCGGGATCACTAGGTGGCGCTGTGTTTCCAAAGTGGGACTTCCGAGGAGCGGGAAACACATGATCGTCCAGTTCTCTTGTATGAGCTAGGGCATCTCCAGCTCTCTGAGGTGTTTGATTTTCAGGGCTCGTTCCAAGCTTGTGCAGCTCTGCCCATCCCTCTTCCTTCATAGGCTATCCGACAGGGAGGCTTAGAAGCTATAAACGTGCAAAAAAGTAAAGAAAAAGTTAGCAGGAATTAACGTTTGCACTGAGTTATCTTGCAAGTGCCATTCAGCTACTAAAGGCAACAAAGTCTGGGACCAGCATTTGGAGTAATGGCTACATTGCTGGACTCCCACGTAGTCAACCGCAGTTCGAGTCCCAGACCCGGTGACTTAGATTAGCTGAAAATTATTGGAAAGTAGCTCACAGAACAAAAAAAAAAAAAAAAAAAAGAAAGAAAATTTAGAAAGTGGCCAATGAGAAAATATCGGAAGTTATTTACCTCTCTCGGTGTCCCTGCAGAAGGGTAAATTCCGTGTACCACATATGTGGATAAGCCTCCTCTACAGGCAGAATGTCGAAGTGCGAGGCACGAATAACGCACATGGTGGCTTCTCCCCTCATCCTCATCCCCACCACACACAGCCCGGGCAGGCTGGGGTCAAAGTGAGCGACTCTTGAACAGCCCCCGAGGAGACCGAGTGAGAAACCGAGGGAGCGTTAACTGTGGAGGGACAAGGGCTAGGGATACGAGCTTCGTACACCTTTCTACCACACGCGGGAGATGCCCAGGACGGCACAGTCTCCGGGATAAGGAAGAGCGAGGCTCAGACTCCATGGAGGCTCCGGCCCAGCGGGCTCAGCCACAGCCAGAGGCTGGGCTCCTTGTGGGCCTGTGTGTCCGGAAACACCCCCCCCAGCCCCGCCCCGGGGGGCCCAGCCACAGCCAGAGGCTGGCCTCGTTGTGGCCTGTGCTGTCAGCAAACACCCACCTAAAATACCAGTTTGCATTTTAGTCAGAGATTTTTTTTCTTTCTCTGTGAGTGGTTTCTAAAGTGTTTATGAAATTACTAGGTTACTTGCTCTTTTTTTTGAAGAGTTTTTTTTGCTATATGGCACGTGCGCTCACCAGACAGACAGAGAGAAAGAGAGAGACAGAAAGCGAGAAATCACCCCCCAGGGGGGATGGTCACACCACAATCCCTTCTCCTCCATTCTCCTCTCGGGATCTTGGGCACGCACACACATGCACCTGGCGTGAGTTTTAAGTCACCGGGTCCGGGACATGAACCACAGTTGACCATGTGGGAGTCCAATGACATAGCCATTATGCTAACTGCTGGTTCCCTAGGTTACCTTGCTCTTAAAAACTCATGAAAACTTCTTTCTGGAATTCGTCATGTAATCACTGTCAGTGTTCCTAAAATCTGCCGTCATAATGAAGGGTAGGTTTATAATATTTATTTTTATGCTATTAATTTTCAAAGAAACAAAACACCATTGGTTGCTAACTTTTAACCTCACTGAGACATTCTTTTATTTATTTATTTATTTATTTAAGTTTTGTTTTTTTGTTTTTTGTTTTTTTGTTTTTTGTTTTTTTTTTGCTATAGGGTGCATGTACTTGCCAGAGATGGGGAGACAGAGACAGAGAGAAGGAAAGTAAGAAATCATGCTCCGGGCAGATGGCCATGTTGCAATCCCTTCTCCTCCATTCTCTTCTTGGGATTTTTGGGCACACACACACACACACACACACACACACACACGCCCAGTATGAGTTTCAAGCTGTGGTCCGCCATGTGGGAGTCCAGAGCCTTAACCACCACACCAATACTGGCCTGGGACATTCATTTCAGTATCACTTTGCTACATCACTTGAATTGGAGAATGGCAAGTGGTGTTGAAAACAGATGACTAAGAAAGTAACTCATGCTGTAATTCCAGTTTTCTTTTAGCTAGTATACTGGGTCCTGTGTCATATAAATCTTAGAACGCTAGCTTCTGCGTATCCTACACGCTGGCAGAGAAGCCACCTCATATTGTGTCAGGCAAAATGGCTTACCGCCGGAAACGTATTTCACTCTAACGCTGTGTTTTTCTATCGACTCAGCTGTCCGACGCCGGGATGTGATGGGAGTGGCCATGTCACAGGGAACTATGCGTCTCACCGCAGGTACCTACTGACTGCGTGCACTCAGGTGTTCATCATCTTGTTTGATTTTGTTGTTGTTTTTAAATTGTCAGAGGGCACACACTCTCACCAGGGAGAGATAGAGAGAGATGGAAGGGAAGAAAGCACCCCCCATGAGGAACGCCCACACCACAATTCTTCCTCCTCTCTTTTTCCTTCCTTGGGCATACACGAATATGCAACTGGCATGTGTTTTTCAAGCCACTGTATCCAGGATTCAAACCATGCAGTCAGTCACAGGGGATCCAGTTTCCTTAACCACCCCACTATGGGCTGGCCCTGATTTTTTTCTTTTGAAGGTTATCCATTTCTTCCATGAGAGAGATGGAGAGAAAAAGAGACAGCCACCTGCAGTAGAGTCTCCCCACCCCAGCTGGCCTGCATGGGGCATGCGTGCAGCCTGCCTCCCTCCTCAGGGCGGTCTCAGGGCGTGAACCCGGGACCTCTCCTAGGCAGGTCGAGCTGCACTGACACTGCACCACCACTGGCCCCAGGTTGATTTTAATTACTTATTCTCATCCGTTCTAGCAAGATAATATCTTGATCAGGAAATGGAAAATCGGTTTGTTATTTTGCTTTTCAGAAAAAAAGTTATGTGATGTGGAAATCCTACTGCTTGGTCAAAACACACTTCTGACGTGGTGGGGCTCACGTCAGGCTTTGGTTCTGTCTAGCTTCAGGACTCCAGTGGAACAGGCAAAGACCCAGAGTGACCCACAGAGCCCTGCCCCCTGCGGAGGTGGCACCGGGTCTGGGCAGAGGCAGGTTACGCAGTGAGAAAGGCTGTGTGCACCCTTCCCACTTACAGCCTCGTGGGCCAGATTTGCTTCCCCTGGGCCTTACATGAACCTGCGAGTCATCGTCGCCTGGCGAGGCACAGGGCCCTGGGCGAGTAATCTTTCCATCCCCCAGATCCAGAGCCCTGAAGTTTCATGGGGCTAAAACCCTTCATTTCCCAATGGCATCTCTGAGTCTGCAGGAACTAACTGAAGTGCCAGAAGGTCCAGAATGGTTAAAGGAACAATGCCAGATTCAAAGCCACTTTGTTTTGCTCAACCCCAATCTCTACTAATTGAGTATATGTTCACAAACTCTAGACATCACTTGAGTCAGATTTACATGTATCAAGTGGCATCTTGTCTTGTTTTCTTTTTCTCATCCCTCTTTAGTGTTTCTGGGTGTCCTTTAGCAGATAAGACTCTCAAGTCTCTCATGGCTGCCAACTCTCAGGAGCTCAAGTAAGTGTCAGGAAGCGGAGCTCGGTGTGTTCGTCTTCCTCCTCGTTCAGCATCAGTGGGATCAGCAAGGCGGAGGGACTTCCTTCTAACTAGACAACAACACAAGGCACTCTAGCACCAGGAAGTTGGGATGGCTAAAAACAAGTCACAGTGTTTTAATTTGCGAGCTCTGGGGGCTTTGTATTTTACAGTTGTTTTTAAAGAATTATTTATCACTTTTTAAAAATTTTTTAGAGGTGTTTGCTATAGGGTACACATGCTTGCTGGAGAGACAGAGAGACAGAAAGCAAGAAATCACCCCCCAGAGGGGAATGGCCACACCACAATCCCTTCTCCTCCATTCTCCTCTAGGGATTTTGGGGATGCACACACAGGTGCCTGGTGTGAGTTTCAATACATCGAGTCCAGGACTCGAACCTCGGTTGACCATATGGGAGTGCAGCAATATAACCATAATCCCATTGCTGGCCCTATTATTTAATTTTTATTTATTGGCATCTTTTAATTTCCTGTAGAATATGTGCATTCACCAGAGAGAGAGAGAGAGAGAGAGAGTGAGAGAATAAGCCACAGGATTGATGAAACAGTTAAGCAGAATACTTTTTCTGTTAATTTCCAAATTTATGCACTAAGTCAGACCTGTGAATGTGCAGCAAAGCATTTCTATCATCTAATTTTAAGAAGAATGCGTAATATTTTACTTTATGAGCATTTTGAGTCACACAACTCTCTCTCGCTTTGGGGTCATAAACACAATTTTGGCTCATTTTTCCATAGGCAACAAGATCACAAAGTCTCCTGTGTATTCGCTTTCATTTATTGATTTTAGTTTTACTCTTCTCAAATAGTTTTTTATTCCAAATGTCTCACACTTGCTTTTTCTCAATCCCGTTTTATTGCATTAGATCAACTGTCCACACTCTGTCACCAACATGGGATGACTAGAGGATATAGAAGCATAGAAAATGGTTACAGATAGCAGACAGTGTGGGGAGAGGGTGCGAGAAGCCGGAGAGTCTGAGGAAGGACATTAAGAAGAATAGAGAGGCAAGGCTTTTGTGGGACGAAGAAGTGGGTTGTTACCTGTGGAAGACAGCATGTATGGTATTCCCACTGGGCTGGTGAGAAACCTCCTCATGGAGGCATAGTTCCTTTGCAAGCTAAGTGACATATGTGATGGCATGTATCAAATGAGTTGAAATAAAAAATATTAAAAACATGTCCCATGTAGACTGGCACACTGCACACGGATGGGTGTGAACAATGGTGACCGCGTGTGTAGAATGCAGTAGGTGGGAACCTAGAGCAAACTCTGGGCCCATTCCAAGTTCCTTCCAAGAAGAGGTCTAAGAAAAGATGGACAAACATACTACGTAGCCACCCAGCGTCCCTCGATAGTTCCACATCTTCGAAGTTTGCAAAATGGATTGCTAACCTAGAGCTATTTATATTTAAGCAAAAAGAACGCCCCCTAAAGCCACTAATCCTGCTTAGCTCCGTCTAAATGTGTCAGGACGCCCTCCCTGCACTAAACCTCATGGCCCACACCCTGTCTCTGTGTTTTGCAGATGTCCAACCCCAGGTTGCGATGGTTCAGGGCACGTGACTGGAAACTATGCTTCCCACAGAAGGTAGGCCCGGCCCGTCCCTGAGGGCTGCACGTCTGCTGGGCGCAGGCAGGAGATCACATGCTCTGTTTTGTTCTTTGTTGGGTGCACCTTCCAGCTTGTCCGGCTGCCCTCGAGCAAGGAAAGGTGGTGTCAGAATGACCCCTACCAAGGAAGACAAAGACGACCCTGAACTTAAGTAAGTGCAGCAGTCGGGACACCAGGGTCGATGGTGTCACCTGGGTCAGGGGCGGGGCCATGGGGGGCAAGGGACCTGATGGGGCTTCAGGAAGGCAGGCCCTGGTACGCACAAGGACTGGAAGCCAGAGCCAGAGGGTTTGGGAACGAGAGGAAGATCTTCCCGTTCATGCCTGTCGCCCCAGTTCTTTTGTAATTCAAAAAGAAACGGAAGGCTTATCTTTTTCCCGATGACTTTAAAGGAACTTGCCTGGTGGAAATACAGTGGCACCCCCTGAAATGGTAGTTTTGCTTTAGGTAAAATTATATGGAAATCCAGTTCCTTTCTCTGTGGAATAGGCTACCAAGTCCAGACCGAGATGGGCCGATAGCGACATATGCGACACTGGAATTTAAATTGCTTCCTCTACAACATTACATGCAATATTTAAGCTGTTGGAAACCAAAGTCCCGGTTCTAGGAACCATGAGCTCTGCAGTTAGCGTTTTATACCCTTGGTCTTTGTTCAGAAGCCGTATAACACAGTGCTTCCACGGTTGGCTCCAGAGCTAAAAAACGTGGACATGAACTTGGCTTCGTGTCTAGTAAAAAGTTACCCAAGCAGTGGAAGCCTCATTTTCCCCACCTTCAGCTCAGGGCAACAACGCTATGCGGCCAATAGGTTTGCAGTGAATGTTAAATGAGGTACTGAGGGGCCAGCAGGTGCTATAGTGGTTAAGGTGCTGGACTCCCATGTGGCCAACAGTGGTTCGAGTCCCAAACGTGGCATCTTGAAACTCACACTGGGCACGTGTGCATGCGTGCCCAAAATTCTGAGAGAAGGGATTGCGGTGTACCTATCCCCCGGAGGGTGATCTCTCACTTTCTCTCTGCGTCTCCAGTGAGTGCATGCACCCTCTAGCAAAAATCCCTCCAAAAAGTAAATCAACTAAAAGGGAGATAACGCATGAAAAGCAGCTGGGCCCAGAGCCTGCCGCCGGTCATTCCTGCGAGCTCGGTGGTGTTCCCTGCCGGTAGGGGCATCCCGTAAGCCTGGTGGTTGCGCGTTTTGCCTTCTGCGTTGTACGGCTCCATCTCTGCCCTCGTCCCACTGGTAACGTCTCTACTCTCCCTCTCCAGATGTCCTGTGCTAGGGTGTGACGGCCAAGGTCACATATCAGGTAAATACACATCACACCGCACAGCTTCTGGCTGTCCCCTGGCTGCCAAGAGACAGAAGGAGAATCCTCTCCATGGGGCCCCCCTCTCCTGGAAACTGAACAAACAAGAGCTGCCACACTGTCCCTTGCCAGGCTGCGACGGGCTGGGCCATGTAAACAATGTCTTTGTCACCCACAGAAGGTAACGTCTGCTCCCTGTCTTCTCCTTGTGTTGTTTGTTGTGATTAGTTGTCACCGGGGTTGCTCTTGGGGAAGACCCTCCGTAAGCTCACTAATTAGGGCACTCCCGATGGCTTATCATCGAGGCTCGTTGAGGAGACACGTGCCTAGTCTACAGAATGAAAAACGCCGTTTTCCCTATGCGGGACATGGACTCCAGTTTTGCAGAGCTCTGGAAACCGCATGTGGTTTTCGTACTCTAGAGTATCGCGTCTGCTGCTGTTTTTCAGTGATCTGGAGTGTTCGCGGTTCACCCCACCCTGAGTGGCACTATGCACCCTCTGAGGCTTCGCCATGGTGAACTTGCCCTTCGCATGTTGGTCTCATTCCCTCCCTCTCGCGAACTGGCTTCGTTTCAGGCCAAAATCGTAGTTATTTTGCTGCTGGGAAGATGCGCCTCCTCTGGAGCAGCCAGAAAGAAAATGACACGGCAGTGCGGAGCGTACACAGGACACAGGGAGATTGAGAAAACCCTTTTAGGCTTCACAATGGCTTAATTCCTTTATCACTGTGTCATGTATTTCAACCAAGGCTTTTGTTGGGCAGCAGTGATCTTAGGCCAGCTTTTGGGTTTACGTTCCACATGAAGGAAAAGAGCTAGAAAGTTCCTATGTCTTTCTGCAGTCAGCCGGCCCTCGTCCAGTCTTGGGGCCACTCTGAAGATGGATTTACCACCCCAGGAAGCTTCAGGGATTCCTTGATGCTTTGTTTATGTTCAGTGTTAAACTGAGCAAAGTCGGGCACTTTGACATGTGTTCCAACTCTGCAGTTATATACTGGTGGTACCAGAGATGAAGCCTTCCGGGAACTGTTTATCTGAACGTGCATGCAGTGAACGCTCCTCATGGAACTAGCTTAAATGGCTCAGGTGGTTGGTTTTGCGACGGCTTACCGAAGCAGGTGCGTGTCCACAATAGCACGCTATTTTCTAGCTCTGGAATCCTTACTCCGGATTGAGGTTCAGCGGTCACAAATCGAGCGTGTCTTGTGCCAGGCTCCTCCCCGGTGGTGCCCCCACTAGTTCCCAGGCACACCCTGCACGGGACACAGCAGGACTGTGCCGCGAGAGCGCATCCTTCAGTGAGCGATAACAGAACGATCTCTCACCCTCGTGGAGAAGTGTTCATGATGACACAAGGCCCGGTGAGGACAGGAGCAACAGGAACGTCCCCCTGTAGGTGGGAAAGTAGCTGGGGGTGCCACTTTCAGACGTCACTTGCCTTTAAAGAGTCAGGTTGAAAATGAGCAAATGAATGTGACCCTGACACCCATCCCTGAGCTGTGGGCTCATGCCCCAGGTGATCATTTGCAAGTTAGAACCCAGAGCCCTGACAGGACCTCTGTGGACATCACTGCCCCAACTCCAAACTGGAGACAGCCAGCCACCACTCCCAGTCCAGAGGGCAGGCAGACAGCAATGCCCACACACAGGGACAGCCAGCAGCAGGGAGGACAAAGGCCTGGCCAGGGAGTTGACATGTACGTGCAGCATAATTTTGGTTTCGAAAAGTTAAGAGCATGCAAAATTACATTTGAAAAAGTCAGGTAATTATTAGCCTACAGTTCAACTGAATGGTTATTTGGAGGCAGAAAAGCTGATTGTTCAGAGGGCCCCTGGGAGATTTGAGCTTCAGAGATCCCAAGAAGGCATATTCTATATTTCAAGGTAAATGGTATTTGTTTTTAGAGGATTCTTTAGACCACAAATGTACATTGTGTGTGCATGTATACATATTATATATTTCATAATAAGAAAAAAGAAAATTATGAGTTCAAAAATATAGGCTGCAATATTAATGCTGAGATATTATTTTCTTGGGAAAGAAAGCAATGAAGAGCTTCGACAAAGGAATCATTCAGATTTCACGGCTCTTCGCTAGAGATTTCTCTTGCTACTTAAGAGATTAGGAGGCTGGATTTAATTTGGGGTATTCTCTTTAAAGTAGAGTGCTTTTCACTGCTGTGTGTGGAGTGCAATGAAATGATACTACGAATGCCCAGTTTATGGCTGGCTGGCGCGTAGTAGGTATTTGACGTGTGGTGTCCTTCGCTCCCCAGGGAAATAATATCGAGTATACACGTTTATACACAGGACCTCATTACAGTAAGGGTGAGGTCCTGGCGTAGCACGTTTTAACCCACGGCAGGCTTTGGTGCCTTGCGTGCTTGCAGTCTGAGCTCCCGGGCTGTCAGCACCCTTCCAACCAGGAGGGGCCTAGTAGGGGCCAGTGTGTGTTCAGCGTTCTGTCCCTCAGAGGGCGCCCTACGTCACTTCCCTGGTTTGTCTCACCCTCACAAAAGCCCGTGAGAACACAGGGTTCTAATTAGCCTGTTGCCAGCAGAGAAAACAAGAACAGGCTGGTCATAGAATTGCCCTCGGATCTGGCCTTGGCCCCCCAGTCCCTGCGTCATCCCACATCCCCGGGGGCTTCATGGCTGCCATCACGTGCCAGGCGTGGTGCTGAGGGCGGCAACGTGCTAGTGCTTCTCAGCCCAGGCGGGGACAGCAGCCAACTCATCTTATAGCACAGTTAAGGCCCAGCTGGCCAGTGCACTGCCTCCGCATATTCATATAATAATCACTGTAAAACTCTGCTCTAAATCCTCATACAACAAAATTTCCCCTTTGAGGAAAGTGGCAAGCTGAGAGGACAAATTATTTATCCCAACACACACACACACATCATTACAGTTGCTTATAGTTTTAAAACCAGAAGTTTCTCTCTCCCTCTCTCTCAAGATTTTTTTTGCTATAAGGTACATGTGTTCACCAGAGGGACAGAAAGAGAGAAAATGAGAGATCACCCCCCAGGGGGATGGTCACGCCGCTGTCCCTGCTCCTTCATTCTCCTCTCAGGATTTTGGGCACACATGCACACACGCCCAGTGTGCGGTTCAAACCTCTGAATCTCGGACTGGAACCGCGTTGGCCATGTAGGAGTGTCTTAACCACTACACCACCTGCTGGCCCCAAGAAGTTCTCTTACTAACAGAAGCCAGCGCCATCCCACCTTTCTGGTTTTACTGAGATATAGTAATATAGAGTAAGCGATGATATCCATTCCATAAATTTTATCACCTGCCATTTTGCTTTCAAAGGCAGATGAAGACATAGTTTAAAATTGCCTTGAATTACATTTTAGAGTTGCAGCTTTGGTCAAAACCATAGAAGACACATTTTTCCCCTGCCTTTTCAATATGGAGCTCAAACCCCAAAAGTTAAACCCCAGCCTGCCAAACTCCATCCTCAAAAGAAAGGGATATTTAACATATCTGGGGTCTGATTTCCTCCTCTGAGTTCATATGTGTTTTGTGTCCTGGAACATGTAACTGTTGGAAGAGACAAGGGATAAGGGATCAAGTGGCACTTCTGAAATCAAAGTCACCCCTCCATGACTATGTGAGGAGAACTCAAAAAGTTCGTGGGAAATGCATATTATGGGAAAAAAAAAAAAAAAAAACTATGTCTGGCCTGGAAATATTTTAGCACCAATATAAAGTCATACTTGAATTCCTTTTTTCTTTATTTTATATATATATGTATATATGTATATATATATATATATATATATATAGAGAGAGAGAGAGAGACCTTTCTCCTCCACTCTCCTCTCAGGATTTTGGGCATACATGCACACACGCCCAGTGTGAGTTTTAAGCCTCCAGGTCCAGGACTCGAACCGTGAACCGTGGTCAGTCATGTGGGAGTCCAGCATTGTAACCATTATGCCACCTGCTGGTTCCTTCAATCCCATTTTTCTATACACTCTTTAAAGGGCGAATTATTCTTTGGTTCTTGGTCACATCATTATAGACAGACACTTTCTTAACTTTTCTATAACACCCAGTCACCCTAGAAATTCACTACCGTATTGTCTGAACAAAGAAGGTCCTTTAGGGGAGAGGGCCACAGAAGTTCTAAAGAGGTACTCGTACCCATGCTGTTGTGATGGGCTCACTGCAGGCCACCTCCAGGGATCCAATCAGCAGTGAACAGTCATCCTGTTCATGACCATTTTCTGAAAACAGAATCTGTGACATGAAACATGAAAGACTTGTACAAAAGCTTCAGGGAAAGTGGAAAAATAACAAAGCTTCGAGCAACCGCAGTTGACAGTGAGAAGTTTGAAAAAAACAGAAGACTCAGCTCCAAATTCAGTTTATACCTGTCCTCCTTTTTTCTGTGTAAAATAATTTATAGTCTATAAATTTGGGAAATTACCTAAACTTCTTTACAATATTACTTATCTGTTATTTTTTATATCTCAGAGAATCTTAATATAGAATAATATAGTGTTCTTTAAAAAAAAAATTCAGTCAATATTTATTGAGGACTTTGCTTCAGAAGTATTTCTTTCACTTTGCCAAGTGCTCCCAATGTCAGGTTGAGATTACTGTTTTGGATATGAAGTATAAAGAAATTTCCATACGAAAACATATTGTAAGTGGCTGCAGTGGTCATTTTTATTTTGATCTAAAACTCGTTTCTACAAAAATACAACAAATTGCCAAAGAATTAATGGCTGCTTAGAAAAACAAAATTATCTGATCATAAACGAGAAAAACAAGTTTTGTTCCATGTCATTATCATACTGAGCAATTTAACTGAAACAGCTGACATTAGCGGAAAGAAGTCCGCTGAAGAGCGCAACTATTAAATGGGAAGGGTTGCGAACTCGCCGAGGATAATAGGCTGCTCAGCAGCGATCACCGGGAAGAGCCTCCTTTATTCCTGTTCCAGGGTAGGGTTTTTTAATGAAAAACTGTGTTTTAAAGTTAAAAAATATCACACACTTTCCTATAACCAAACTGAATTTGCCAAAGCAAGGTGGAGGGGAATGGAGACCCATCGATTCGAGTCATTCTTTAAAGATCAGACCACGCTGTGTGCAAAGACAGGAAGGGTTGAAATCTGCTTTCCCAGGATTGTGAAAAGTGAGGGCCAGCCAGTGGCATGGTGGTTAAGGCAGCTGGATCCCACATGGCAGACTGGACGGTTCAAGTCTCAGACCCAGAAGCTTGAAAACCTGTGTGTATATGCCCCCAAAATCTTGAAAGGAGGAAGAAAAGAGAAGAGCTTGTCGAGCGACCATCCCTCGTGAGGGATTTTTCTCTCTCTCTCTCTTTCTCTCTCTCTCTCCCCTCACTGTCTATCCCATAAGCACATGTGCCCTCTGGCAATTAAAAAAAATAAACGACTAATTGGGAACAATTTTTATTCAAAATACGTATGCGCACTTTAGTGTTTACAGAAAATAAACTGTTGATGGGAACCAACAGTTAGCGTAATGGCTATGTCGCTGGACTCCCACGTAGTCGACTGCGGTTCGTGTCCCAGACCCGGTGGCTTAAAACTCACGCCGGGCGCGTGTGCGTGCGTGCCCAAGATCCCAAGAAGAGAATGGAGGAGAAGGGATTGCGGCGTGACCATCCCCCCTGGGGGGTGATTTCTCGCTTTCTGTCTCTATGTCTCTCTCTGTCTGTCTGGCGAGCGCACGCGCCCTATAGCGAAAAAAAAAAAAAGAAAGAAAGAAAGAAAAGAAACTGCTGCTGAGTGAAGAGATCTATGTGAGTAGCATCTGAGTATGAATTAGATCGTGGCCGCGATTCAGCAGTAACCATGTGTGCTTTGACTTAAGGAAAAGAAAAAAAAAACCTTTTTCGGTACTTAAGGGCCTTTTGCCTTTGCTTTAACGGATATTTTTGGTTACCTTTTGTAATAGGATTATGGGTTAATGCAGTCAGTAGCCAGACAAAAACATATAAATAACTAGCGAATAACGTAGAAATGTCTATAGGAAATTATAATACACCTTTTGCACATGGACGTGATTTCTGTTTTTGCAGCTTGTCCGGATGCCCTCTCAATGCACAAGCCATCAAAAAGGGGAAAGTCTCGGAAGAACTAATGACCATCAAGCTCAAAGCTAGTGGGGGTAAGAGCTCGGGCGGGGTCACCGTCTCCAGGTCAAACCATGGCCTCCCAGAAAGCTCCACGCAGCGCCCGGTTGGCCCTCCACAGCCGCGCTGTATTCTCTGCTTCTGTATCTGAGGGACCCGTAGCCACAAGCCCATCCACCTGGGCACCAAAAGTCCTTGAAAAGCATGTGGTTGTACCTGCTCTGAACACGGCAGACTGTTTCTGCTCACTGTTCCGGAACCCCACGGTATGCCGTTTACATAGCCAGGTACATAGGGGTGCTCGGGGGAGGCTGCAGGAGACATGCCTGGTACGTGCATCTTCAGGCCCTTCCTTTTGGAGGGCCCTGCAGCCAACCCCCTGAGCATTCTGAGCAGCAGCTGTCTACTCTCCAAGGGAAATACTAACACCCAAGAAGAACGATTTCCTCAGGTTTGAACTAAAGCCACATCTATAAGGCAAAGCAAAGCCACCTTGGCTCCTTTCTTACCGTCTAAGGCTCTGCAGCAGACTAGTCGGCACGGCGTAGCCAGACTGAGCTGCATCAGCACTCGTGTCCCTCGGCCTTCGCACTGGTGGCTTCTCTCGTGTGCACACGCGTGTGTGTGCGTGTGAGTGTTTTCCTGGTGGGAGTGTGAGACGGGCTTCTATATTTGAAATCTTAAACTCTGTGCTTCTATGTTTGAAGTGATGTTCACGGGGCCTGCAGGGGTTCTCAGACAGGTCTTGCCCTGTGTCGATCCTCCTGCCTCAGCCTCCAGAGTATCTGGGACCACAGGTCCTTGGCCTGAGCCTGGCTTTTCGGGGCTAGGAATTGCGCCCGGCTCTCCCCAGCGGCCTCAGTCTGCTGAGCTGCTACTGCAGTTGGGCCTCATGGTAATATTTTTATAGTGATTCTGGGTGACTTACATTTCTCATCTATGTCTACACCTACGTGGGCACTTCCTTACGTGTCTCCCTCACATGGATCCCTCATCAAAGCTAAGATTGGGGCCGGCAGGTGGCATGGTGGTTAGGGTGCTGGACTCATAAATCTTGGGTAGAGTCCTGGACCTGGTGGCTTGCTTTCTCGCTTTCTCTCTCTCTCTCTCTCTCTCTCTCTCTCCCCCTCACTGGCCAAATTAAAGAATAAGTAAATGCATTAAGTTAAATAAAGTAATTATTTTAGATGATAAAGCTGAGATCCACGGTTTCCTCTTTCTGTCTGGACCCCTCGATGCTCCTTGGGGTCGCTAATGCTTCCCTTAAGATTTCTAGCCAGCATGGTGTCGCGTTCCCCCAGCGTGGTGGTGACGTGGCCGCGAGGCAGCAGAGCAGGGGCTGTGCTCATGGTGTTCATGCCATGCTGTCTTTGGCACACGGCTAGAATTGACCTGGGGGCTTCTTTAATTGCCAAAGAGTGCATACACTCACCAGAGAGAGAGAGGAGAAAGCTCCCCGTGGGGGATGGTCACGCCTCAACCTCGTCTCCTCCTCTGTCCGTCCTGCTGGGATCGGAGACGTGCCTGCCCAGGCACCTGGTGTGGTTTTCAGGCCGCCAGGGCCAGGATTCAAACCGCAGCTGGTTATGTGGGATCTGCTTCCTTAACCACGAGGCTTTGGCCAGCCTGAGCTGGGACTCTGAGCTGTGGTCACTTCTCAGAAAGCTTTGCTCGGCCTTCAGCTTATGCGTGTGGGTTTTAAAGGACTGACACCGAGCAAGGGAGGGACCTCGGAGCTACCTGCTTTCCTCACAGGTTTTCATCCACTGTGTCCTGGTCCTTGGGGGCGATCCCTACTCCATGGGAACACGCTGCCCAGAGACATGGGGGGCTGACACGGAAGGAGAGTGGGAAAGAAAGCCCTGGGTGTGGGGACAGGCTGCAGCCTCTGTCCTTCCTGCAGGTGCTCCAACTATTCCTCAGAAATGTCCCCTCTCCTCGAGTGCATCTTCTTACATGTTCAGTACGATTCCACCATTTAATATGTACTTATTCACATATCACTTTATTTTAAATAGTATCAAATGGGTGAAGTTACCTAAAATTTTAAAAATTAATTTTAAACATGAGACAAAGAACATCACAGATAGAAAGTGTGAGGGGACAAGCCAGAGGCCCCTGACAATGCGTGCCACGCCAGCCAGTCCTCACTGGGGAATCCAGGGTCCAAATGTGACTCTGCTCTTTAGAAGCCAATGCCCATGAGAACCACACACTAGTAAGTGAATTCCGAGCAAAGCTCTTTCTGGAACTGAGGCCATGAGGAGAACATTTCCTATGAGTCCTCATGATGGAAACGCCAGCAACCTGTACTCTAAATATGTCCCCCACGGGGCTACTCCTGGTGATATCCAGTATTCTGGTGGCTGGTGGAATTACGTTATATGATGATGGAGCCTCCCGGGGACTGTGAGCCAGGGCCGGTGAGCCAGGGCCGGTGTACCAGAGCCGGTGAGCTGGGGCTGGTGAGCCTCACGGCCTGTCTGAGCCACCATGGACGTTCGCAGCTCCCTGGGAGCAGCTGGACCAACCGTGTACCCTTCACAGGGCCCCCATTACAAACCCAGCATCTGCTGAGCTCTCAAAGCATGCAGAGCTGCAGGAGGCGGGTCACATTGTTGGCCAGTGTCAGGGTGCAGCTACTCCGGGCACCCAGGGAGCTGGACAGTGCCTGTGTGTACGATCTAAGAGGGTAGGCTTAAGACTGACGATGACTGCATGAAGGAAAACCCGCTGCGTTCAGGTCCTTGGTCAGCGGGGAGTGAAGGAGGACCTAAAGGGATTCGGGGTCTGCTCTGACAGTGCTCGGGGCCCCCACCACGGTCATTGTTCCCTGGATGACCTTTAAAGCAGACATGAAGTGACACTTTCTCCTGTTTAAAAAAAATAAAATCACAGTAAAACACAAAGCACATGTGGCTTTAACCTCGTAGGTACATTCAGTTTCACTAGGTACAAAGCACTGTCATAATTAGTTGAATTAGTTACGTTTCAAGGACTAGAACCAGTCAAACTACCGAAAGAAAGTTTACATTGACTTTAGAAGAAGTGATCTTTAGTTCTCCATCTTTGCCATAATTGCCAAACTATTTTTTTATTATTTTAGTTTTTCGTTATAGGCATGTGCACTCACTGGAGCGAGACAAAGATGGAGGGAAAGTGAGGGGACACTCAGAGGGGAGGCCCACACCACAGTCCCCTCTCCTCCATTCTCCCCTTGGGATTTTGGGCACACACACACACACGCGCGCACCGGAGTGTTTTGCAAGCTGCAAGGGCTTGAACAGCACAGGGACTCTGACCACGCAGTCGGCCATGTGGGACCCAGCACCTTAACGACCATGCCATCTGTCAGCCATTTTTTTTTAAGACTACCTCTAGTCCTTATGATAAAACTAGGTCATCAGTACAGGAGACAATGCCTGTCTCCTGTGCAGGGAGGGAACAAGTGAGGCTGTGAGGCTGGCCTGGGCACACATTCTCACTCGGAGGAGCTCCTTCCAGGTCTTTCCATTGACAGGACAGTGTGTTCTGAAAGCTGTGATCCAGCATCCCTTCTGGGTATTAACGCTCTTAACCAAATTTAACCAACTAGTCAAATTTGCATCAACTCACCTTTTCCTAAGTAAAAAAGAAGCAAAGTTTTAGTCTGTAAATCCAATCTAAAAATAGTTACTCAAGAAATATGATAGAATTTGTTTGAAATATAATAGAATTATTTTGTTTGCGTAACATGAAAAAACTGAAAGCCCCTTATAAGCTGAGTACATGCACGCTAGATTCAGGCATACACATCACTCGTACGATTATATAGAATATAAAGAAATGGCATTATAAATTTTTTGTGTGGTAGCAATTTTTTTCTGAAACATTTATTTATTTATTTTACAATTAACGTATGAATTTATTTTGGTACAAAAACTTTGAAATTCATACATAGTTTTCCCATTACACGTTTTTCCATGAACTTTTTTTCTGAACCTTTTTTTAATTAATTAATTTACGTTCATTCCCTAAGCATCATCACAGCATACAAAATGTGATTTCCCACCCAGAATATACTCTATAGTGGCTTAATCATGCATCTTAGCATCAATAATTTTCCATTTCTATACACACACACACACATATATATACACACACACACATATATAAAATTATGCATATATATATATATAATTTTTTTTTACCCCGTTTCTGACCCTCTGCCCTTTCCCACCCTCCTCCCACACCATCTCTGGTGTCTATGGTTGTTTGCCATTCCTTTTTCCCCCACATTTTGTTGATCACACAATTTCTTATATAATCTAACTACTTTCAATAGCAAGTTCAGCTGGTAATTTCAAGAAAAGCAGTTTTAACTTTAATAAATCAAAGAAATGCTAAGGAACTTTGCTTAAAACTTAACGCCAGGAAACAGGTTAGAATTCTGTTCAAATGGTAGGTACATGAACCTATTGACTGGCCAAGACAGGACAAAAATCCTTAAAACTGGACGACAAAGCCTAGAAGAACATCAGCACTGTTTTAGTCTAAAGTCATAAAATGTTGTTTCACCAGTTCAGTCTCATGTACTTAACCTATTTTCTGTTGTGATTCAATCTTCCCGATTAAATTCTGGCATATAATGTTCAACTCCAGACTTGTCCCTACTATTAAGTTGGCCATTTTCTTAGTTTTTGAACTCTTATTTCTGTGTGTATTTAATTTTCCTGGTATGTTATAAATTACATTATGTCTAATTATGCAAATTAGGCACAGAATAATGCCAAATAAAAATTTAAACTAGTGAATCAAAATAAAGCATATTTTCTTGCTTTTAGTAGATTCTGGATTGGCCATGGCCTAGTGGTTACAAAAGCTGAATCCCACATGTGTGGCCTTATGGTTCAAGTCCTGGACCTGGTGGCTTAAAATATGTCAGGCGTGTATGTGTGCTTCAAATCCTGAGAGGATGGAGGAATGGAGGAGACGGGATCATGGAGGAGACAGGATCACTTCCTAAGGAAACACTTTCTGTCTCTCCGCCCTCTCTGTCTCTCTCCTACTAACGTGCCCTCTAGCAAAATTTTAAAAAGAAACAAATAGACTCTCTATAGAAATAAGGTCACTGATGAGTCCAGTATAATATTTAGTGGAGTCTGAGTGGTTTCCCTGATCAGCCGGAATACCTAGTTAGCCCGGCAACCTCCTACCGGTATGCCTGTGAGGAGTATCAGCCCGTGCGTTTTACCAACACTGCCCGAGCAGAGAGTCTGTGAGTAAAGGTAGCAATGTACTAGCTGAGGGAACAGATTCTGCAGCCAGAGGGCTTAGGGCTAGGTTCCACCTCAGCCACCTGCCCAGGAAATAAGGTAATGAGCATGTCTACCCGTGGTTTTCTCGAAGGATGGAATGAGGCAATATTTGGGAGCTCAGAGTCAGAGTCAGAATCTGTCTCATCTCCACACAATAGTCAGGTGCTCTACTGAGAAAGAGAAAGAAGAGGGGTTCCTTGGATCGTGATGAGACAAGTTTGGTGGTGTCTTGGCCCAAGTAGATGAGGAAATGTATTCATGAGAAGAACTGCGAAGAGATTGAATGTGATCCTGTGGCTCCCCGAGTCCCAGAATTAATACATAAACATTCGTTTGCTCATTCACCATCTCCATGAGAGTATGAGGAGCCTGCTCTGTACTAGGCGCTGCTCTGCTCCTCCTTGTCTGAGGGCCAATTTCGTGATCGTATGTCCCCATGAGCACCACGCCTCTCGCGTTACTAAGCATCTTCCACATGGCTCCGTCTTGATGGAGAGACCTGAGTGTCTTCACTGACACTGGGCGTCAGGAAAACGTAATCCTAACTGGATCCCAGGAGCAAGCACCCAGGCTCTCTCACTCAGAGAGTCTTGTCACACATCTGTGACTTAGTCAAAGGTCCACTCTCAACCATCCAGCTGCAAGTTGCAGCCCCCAAGTCACCCCCATCACAGAGACCTCTCTAGCGCCTCCCACCTGCTCCAGCAGAAACGGCACCCATCATGCCCTCCTCCCTGCCTTCATTCCCTACTTCGAGTCTTCATGAGTCTCACAAAATCTGCCAACAAATTACCTTCGGTCCCCCTTCTGGTGTCCTTAATATCAACCACCTTCCTCAGCTTCTTAAATTCTTTAAAAATACTCAGACCCCTCTATAAAATAATGATGGGACGATAACTCCCACTCGAGAGCTTGCCATGTGTTCTGTGTCCTTGGCTTTAATTGCATTCGTTTTCACAACATAGATAGTATCCCTATTTTTCAAAACAAAAAACTGAAGCACAGAGAAGTTTAACTAGTCACCCAAATTCAAGAACAAGAGCCAAGGCCAGCGTTCAACTTCCATGTTCCATTTGTCTCTCGCCCTCACCCTGGAGACAGTCCTACTGTGAGTGCGGACTCTGACTCGCAGGCTGTCATCCCAGCTCAGCAGCGGTCGTGGGACTTCAGGGCCAACTCAGCTAAGCAGATATTAACTACTCGGCACCACCCACGTCCTCCTGCCGGGCCGCGTTGTGTACGAGGGACGTGATGGGGCGTTGCTCTGCCTCTGAACGTGAACTTGGGCAGTATTCTAGTCTGTTCCATTGCTAATAAGAAAAGCTATCTGAACTGAGTAATATTTAAACAGAGGTTGATTCAAGTCACTTTTTGGAGGTCCGAGGTCCAGAGACCAACCCAGGTGGGGTCTTCTGGCCACACCATGACATGGCAGAGGGCAAGAGAGCATGGTGTGCATCCGTGTGTCTGTCTGTCCCTTTTCCTCTTCCTATAAACCCACCTTGATTTGGGCTGGTTCTACAGCCTAGTGGTTAAGGGAAGCCAGACCCCATGTGGACAACCACAGTCTGAGTGGGGCACATGTACATGCGTGCCCCAAATCCTGACGGAATAGAGTAATGGAGGAGAAGGGACTATAGCATGACCATACCCCATTGGGGGATGCCTTCTCCCTCCCTCCCTCTCTCTCTCTCTCTGACAAGCACACACACTATAGCAATTTGAGGGAAAAAAAAAAAAAACAGAAGTCAATCATGTAGATCCCACACGAATTACTTAATCTGTCTTTTAACACCATAAAGATAATACATTTCCTCTTCATACCATCACAGCCAAGTCTCCACACATGAATTTGAGGGGCTCACCCAGAGCAGGCAGGCTATTGAGCTTCCTCCGGTGATTTCTGAAGCCTCATTTAAGTCTCTGAGGTTCACTGCATTCATATGTGAAAGAGCAGAGTGGGGGCCAGCAGGTGGTGTGCCAACCACAGTTCGAGTCCCAGACCTGGTGGCTTGAAACTTATGCCAAGTGCGTGTGCATGCACGTGCATGCCCAAAATCCCGAGAGGAAAATGGAGGAGAAGGGAGTGTGGCATGGCCACCTCCCCAGGAGGTGATTTCTCACTCGCTTTCTCTCTCTCCACCTTTCTCTAGCTCTGGCTTGAAACTTATGCCAAGTGCGTGTGCATGCACGTGCATGCCCAAAATCCCGAGAGGAAAATGGAGGAGAAGGGAGTGTGGCATGGCCACCTCCCCAGGAGGTGATTTCTCACTCGCTTTCTCTCTCTCCACCTTTCTCTAGCTCTCCAGCGAGTGCACGCGCCCTATAGCAAAAATCTCTTTCAAGAAAGGGGCAGAGGGAAAGGTGCCCGCAGGACAGGGAGGCGTGAGTGAGAGCGCGTGTGCGAGCGTGTCTAGCAGCACATGGGGCATTACTCGCTACGTTACTGTGTCACCTGTCTACTCCCCTCCTTTATGTTCTATTCCAAAGGAGTAGAACCTCAGACTTCCTGTCACTTTTTCAGAACTCCTGGATTTGTGTGGCTTTGGTAAACACACTTCAAATTAAAGTCTTGCATCAGTTACCAAACATAAATTCAATGTGAAATGGCACCTCTGTGTCTTAGCCTCGTGTGTTTCATGTGCCCTAAGACAGTCTGATTCTTTATAGGTATAGAGAGTGATGAAGAAATTAGGCATTTGGATGAAGAAATAAAGGAACTGAATGAATCCAACCTTAAAATTGAAGCAGATATGATGAAACTTCAGACCCAGGTAAAAAAAAAAAAAGAAAAAAAAGTAATTAGTTATCTTTAAAGTAGTCATAATATTTTAGTGGATGCAAAATATTGAACTTCCTAAACTTTGTGTCTGACACTATACTACCACCTTGGAGTGAACGCGCTGTTTTCGGATCAGTCACTGTGAAAACCTGAGTGGGTGGGCCTTCCCTGGTGGTGGACTCGCGGCTGTGGTCAGCTGCTCACGTCCTCACCTGGGATGCATCTAAGGTTTCTCTGAGCCACTGAAGGACATCGCCCTCCAGTCAGAGAGTCCTGTGCAGCCCGAGTGCTTTAGCGAAATTTGTGGTGGGAAGGTGAGAGTCCTAAGTTTTATTCAAAATGCAAGTAAAACATATCAACAGTTAAATTTAATTGTTCTAGAATACCAGTATCAGTGTCTGTGAGAAACGGATCTTACTGAACATTTTTAAAAAATATTTTCTTTCTTTCAATCTGCACAGGGGACTTGTGCTCACAGGGGATACAGGGCGGGAGAGAGGGAAAATGAGAAAGCATCTGCCTGTTCCCCCAGGGAATGACCACGCCACAATCCCTTCTCCTCCACTCTCGTCTTGTGATTTGGGGCACAGCGCGCACGCACACACACAACTACCTGGTGTGTGTTTAAGCTGCTGGGGCTGGGATTCAAACTCCACAGGCGGCCATTTGGAATCCAGCTGCCTTAACCACCGTGCCACCTGGCTGGCCCTTGAATATATTCTTTACCACCAAAAGTTCTCAGTTCTGCATCCTCTTTTGTAATGTCTGCTCATTCCTTGAATAAATGTATCCAATTTGATGTCCAAGTTCAGGCCAAGGTTTTTAAACTTTGATAATCACTCCATGGCAACGCAGAGTGAGACAATTACGTTGGAGAGTTTGCTGGACTCCCTCTCTCCCCCTGAAGGGCAGGACTCGTATTCCATGACGGGTACCGACTCGCCCACACGTTCTTACGCCCCGTACTGAAGACGAGTTGTACTCCATCTGAAATGCCATTGGGTTTTCTTTCCTTACCGTAGCACCATTGACACAGTGCTCCCTTCACGGCAGGGCCACAAAACAGAGCTTGAGTTTGGAATAGAAATGAAGAGAATTCATCCTGACAGCCACAAGCCTCGTCCTCATGGGGCTTGAAGTCTAGAACAGGGAGGCAGACAATTACCAAAACAATCACAAATGGATGAGGATGTATGCTTGAAGGGGTGAGTCAGTACTAAATAGGACAAGGGCCAGGGGGTGGTGCCACAGCAGGGCAGGACACTGTGAGACGGTCTCACATGGGAGCTCCCAGCTCAGGTCCGGAGGCCTTGCTGCGTATTCTGGCCATGTGCACGCCCATAGCTGACTGCAGGCTGGGCTGGATCAGGGTGTCAAGACCCTGTTGGGGTTTTGGGAACCAGCAGTTAGCGTAATGGCTATGTCGCTGGACTCCCACGTAGTCGACCGCGGTTCACGTCCCGGACCCGGTGGCTTAAATCTCACGCCGGGCGCGTGTGCGTGCGTGCCCAAGATCCCGAGAGGAGAATGGAGGAGAAGGGATTGCGGCGTGACAATCCCCCATGGGGGGTGATTTCTCGCTTTCTGTCTCTATGTCTCTGTCTGTCTGGCGAGCGCACGCGCCCTGTAGCGAAAACCTCTCCAAAAAAAAAAAAAAAAAGACCCTGTTGGGGTTCTTTTCTTGCTTCCTCTCACACATGGAGGGGAGAAATAGGACTTTTCTGGGGTAGAGAGGTTTTTGCTATAGGGTGCGTGTACTCCCCAGAGAGAGACAGAGAGACAGAAAGCGAGAAATCACCCCCAGGGGGTATGGCCATGCTGCAATCCCTTCTCCTCTATTCTCCTCGCAGGATCTTGGGCACACACGCACACGCGCCCGGCATGAGTTTAAGCCACCGGGTCTGGGACTCGAACCATGGTCGACTAAGTAGCCATTACACTATCTGCTGGCCCCTAAATAGGCCTTTTTAAAAAGTCGTTTAAAACACACACACACACACACAGACACACACATTAACTAGGATACCAGGCCCTCCCAGAGAAGGAAACATGTCAGCCAAGACTGGAGGAGTGAAGTTAGCCAAACAGACTGGGGAACGGACATTTCACAGAGAAAGGAAACAGCCACTGCAAAGCCTGGAGTCCTGAGAGGGGGTCTGAGGAGCACTGTAGAGAGCGTGGCTGCCCCAGTGAGCTGGGCCGAAGGACAGTCCGGAGGTGACAGCGCTGTTCCTGGGGCGACCTCGGTTCTCGTTCTGAACGAACACGGCATGGTTGTGGGAGTTGGCACCCAGGCGTAGCAAGGTCACGTCTGACTCGCACTCTGACCTATGTGTTTTCTAGCCTGCCAGTCGTACAGCCTCTGTTGACAGCACATACACTTTGCTGCAAGACACACAGGGTTCCCTAATCATTGTTTCAGTTTGACCTCAATGTCTTAACGTTACTTCTAGACACGGCACACCAAGTAGCCTACAAAAACGTATCCAAGGTGAGCTTTCTTCCCAGCTGTCGATTTTTTTTTTTTTTTTTTTTGGAGAGGTTTTCTCTATAGGGCGCGTGCGCTCGCCAGACAGACAGAGAGAGACATAGAGACAGAAAGCGAGAAATCACCCCCCAGGGGGGATGGTCACGCCGCAATCCCTTCTCCTCCATTCTCCTCTCAGGATCTTGAGCACGCACGCACACGCGCCCGGCGTGAGTTTTAAGCCACCTGGTCTGGGACGCGAACCACAGTTGACTACGTGGGAGTCCAGCGACATAGCCATTACGCTAACTGCTGGTTCCCACTCCAGCTGTCGACTTTTGAAATGTCATTTAGGTTTATAATTGGCATCTGTCACCAAGTAGCAGAATATAATTCTTATACTTGGTAAATAATCTTCTATACTAAAATAGGCACCAGCATGTCTTAAGTGACTGAAAATATGTGATTTATATTGCACTACTTTCAAACTGGGAAGTACAATATTTAGATTTTTCTAAGAGCAAAAATTATTTTATGGTCATTGCAGTTCTCAGAAAAACTGGTCCACATTAAGTCAGTCTTGAAGAAATAAACGGAAGATTATAATAAATAAATAAACTGAAGGTTATAGACCCTGTCATGAGAGCTTTGTTCTCTTTCTGAAATGGAGGCATTACTGAACCCAGCTCCAGCGCTGCTGTTCCCACGCCTAAGCAGGGGGACTCTGCCACAACCTGTCAGATGCTTTTTGGCTGCTTGATAAGATAGCTCAATGACTCCTTAATGAGTCTGATTTCAGAAGATCCACTAATTATGAGTATCATATTTATTGGGACATATTTAATTAACAGAAGATAACTAGTGTACTATGTCTAAGAGTGTTATATAAGATTTTCACTCTCCATGTTTTTATAATATTCCAGTTGAGTGGCAGAAGATTGTTCAGAAAAGTCTAGCCTTTAAGATCTGGAAAAATTTATAGTGAGTCTTTTAAAACATATTTAAGCAATCATAAGTTTAATCACAAAAAGGGACTATGAAGGAAGAATGAAAATTGCAAAGGAAGTTTTGCAGGCAGTGAAAGTACAGCACTTTGACTCGCCCCACATGCATAGTGCACAAGCACTCCTAGGCCATGTAGCTTACTTGCAAACCACGGGGCTGCAGTTCAGGTAGTTACTGCTCTGAAAGCTCTACCTAGTAACCTTCCAAAATGGCTTTGAAATCAAGTTCTTAAGTTGTAGCAATAAACAAAAAGAAAAACATAAACAATACTGCAGTTTATCAAAAGACTCGTAAGAAACGTCAACTCTTATTCTCTGAGAGTTATATAAGATCAGTATTTGGGGGACTAGCAGATAGCGTAATGGTTACATCACTGGATTTCCACATGACTAACCATGGCTTGAGTCCTGGGCCTGGAGGCTTGAAACTCACATTGGGTGCATGTGTGTACATGCCCAAGATCCCGGGAAGAGATTGGAGAAGGGATTGTGGTGTGGCCACCCCCCTGCGGGGATGATATCTCGCTTTCTGTCTCTGTCTCTCTGGTGAGTGCACATGCCCTATAAGCAAAAATCTCCTTTAAAAAAAAATCAGTATTTTGGCTGTTATTAATACAAACATGTTTATAATGCAATATTTGCATAACCTAGTAATTCTAATTGTGACTATAAGATCAGAATAGGTTTGAAAAAAAAAATACTAGAAACATAAAAATACTTAGCCCCATTATTTACCTGTAGAACATGTTCATTTATTCCTAAATTTCCTCATTTACTATGTCACCCTTGCTCTAATGTTACAAGTTACATCCAAAGGATAAGGCAAAACCACCTACAAATTGGCATACTTGTTTATTCCTCAGTTCGTGAAAACATCCTTAATTTGTTGATGTAGCAAACAAATTCAACTCTGATTGCTATGCAAAGAAACAAGATAATCAGCTTTGCAAGAAACTTTTATACTTCAAGTGCATGCAAGCAACATCCTAAATATGAAAAAAATTACTGACTGAACTACAATGTTAAATACTGAAAAAATGTTAACAGTTTATTATAACTTGTTTTAAAGAATTATATTATTTTAATTGTATTTATTTTCATTTGACCAGAGAGGGATATAGCAAGAGAGAAAGTGAGAAAGCAAGCAATCAGGTCCAGGACTCAAACCGTCGTTGGTCATATGGGAGTACAGGGCCCTTAAGCAGTACGCCACCTGCCAGCCCCTATTATAACTTATTAGCAATCTAGGAAGTGTGCAGCCATTAGAGATTCTAGTGCCTTCCAGGTGCTGCTGGGGATACGGAATCTCAGTGGAGCTGTTAGTGTGGCAAGCCTTGCAGGAAAACATGTGCACTTCTGGTAGCATAGGTGAAAGGGTCATGAAGGGGTCGCTTTAAAACGCACCTCCTTGCTCCGTCCTCAGCGAGCTGGCCTGGGCCTCTCACTGTGGCCTTCACTGTTCCCGATGTCAGTCCATGATCTCTTTACAGTCAATCCGTGACCATCTGAAGACAGGGTTTGACATCAGGGCCTTCACAGCCACCACTCGTCTCCTCCTCTCCATCCGTTATGTTCCTGTGAACTTCTACTTCGCTTCCACAGGAAATTCAGTAGTTTCTATCAGCCCTGTAGCCACCACACAGAGTCTCCGCGTGCCACCACAGCCCCTCATCCAGGGCCACCCTCCCCAGCCGCCTACCCCGTGGGTTCCTGAGCAGCCTGAGCCTCTGACTTGTATTTTAAGAAATCCATTCCAGGGGCCAGCAGGTGACTGGCAGCGGTCTGAGTCCCGGACCCAGCAGCTTGAAAAATCACCTGGGAGTGTGTGCATGCATGCCTCAAATCCCAAGAGGAGAATGGAGGGAAGAGAATGCAGCATGGCATGTATGCACACGCCCCAGGCAGTGGTTTCTCATTTTCCTTCTCTCTGTCTTTCTCTGTTTTCCACCAGCAAGCACACAAGCCCTATGGCAAATAAACATACATACATACATACATACATACGTAAAAACTGCTAAATTAAAGAGAAGGAAATTCATCCTGGTGTCTGTACTGAGGAAGGGCTGAGCACAGGTGCCTGGGATTCGGGCAGGTGCAGCTATGCTGGTGGCTGGGCTCTGTGGCAGCAGGGCGGGTACAGAAGGACAGTGGGCCCTTTACGGACACTCTGAGAGGTGCTCAGGATTTAGAGCCCTACCTGCCCTCTACCCAGGAGTGCAGGGGTCTGAGCCGCGCTGGAGATGCCCTCAGCTGGGAGGAGAGACCGTGGGTGAAGGGGCAGGCAATGGAAGTGTGTTTCAGGGCATACTGAGCGCAAGATGTTCATCCATAGCCGCGTGGAGAAGCTGCGTCTGCAGGCAGGAGAAGTCTGGCTGAACACACTTGGGAAGGGGATTCAGTGAGCGTGATCAGGCAGGTTGCAGTTCTGTGAAGACGCTGCAGAGTAGTCTTCAGTGGATGCAGTGTTCTTTTTGTACAAAGGGACTTCAAGACGTTTGTGGAAAAGAGAAAGTAAGGGCTTATTTTGGCGCAAACATGTTTTGAAATCTATGCACTTTTTTCAAAAGCTCATTTTCCGGAACTTTTTGAAGACACTCCCTCACCCCCCCACCACGCTCCCATTTCCACATCCTTTCCATTTCAGATCACGTCTATGGAGAGCAACCTGAAGACCATCGAGGAGGAGAACAAGCTGATCGAGCAGAACAACGAGAGCCTGCTGAAGGAGCTGGCCGGCCTGAGCCAGGCGCTCATCTCCAGCCTCGCCGACATCCAGCTGCCGCAGATGGTGAGTCCAAGGCCGGACCTTCGCTGCTGAGAGCCCGCGTCTGCAGCACCGCCGGCAGCCCCCTGCACGGCCGCCAGCCCGGGGCACTCAGCTCCGAGGGGCTGACAGCGGCCACAGGCTCAGCACGGTCTCTACGTGCTCTCACTCCACTCCCAGACAGCGCCCTCTCTGGGAACATGGTAGACCCGACCCACAGACAGGGGCTGGGGGCGGGGCTTCAAAAAGTTCATGGAAAGTGGAAGTAAAGTAGTTTATTTCGGTGCAAAAAAAAAAAAATTGAAATCCTTGCATACTTGTTCATAATCCACATTTTCTGTAAGCTTTTTGAATCTCCTCATATTTAAATTATATGAAGATCAAGGATTTTATTTAAAGGCCAAGATCACTTAGAGAGCTAAAGATGTATTTGAAGCTTGTTGTTAATGTAATCTAAAAACTTGAAGTCAAAACTCCCCTGCTGAAAATATATCTGCAGGCCGGGCCCCTGGGCGAGTGGTGACGGGGGGGCTGCATGCACCCCGCACAGCTGGCTGATTGTAATTTGAATGTAGGCCTCGGTGGTGTGAGAAACACCCCAGGGCTGCACGTGTGTGTTCCGAATCCCAAGGAGGGAGAAATCGAAGAGAAGGGATTGCGTGTGACCACGTCCCATTGCGGGGTGCTTCCCCCCCGTCTCTCTCTGGTGCGTGCACACGCCTCTGGCAATTAACAAAAAGAAACAGATTTGCAAGTAGAAGCTTTTCTGGGTGGCCAACTCTGAGATCCAGCCGTTGGTATCACTCACCCAACTCCAGAACTAGAAAAAAACTTTTTAAAAAGAGATAGAGAAAAAAAAAACAGTTTAAGTCCCAGGAGACGTGATACTTTTCTGTATGCTAAAGCGTGAAGAGCAGACTTCATACTCCCGTACTCCTCAGTCACATAAAGCACCCGGGGGAGCGGGCACCCTCTTTCCAACATCTAAGCGTGTATCTTAGGTATGCAGCTATTTAGAACCCCTAGAAAATGAGCTTCCATTACGTTATCGTAAGAGGAAATAAATCTGTACAGGGAGGGCTCCATTGTCAAAGGTTTCGTTTCCTAAGGGCCCACACTCTTAGACTAAGGTTCCTAAAGCTGCCAATTGCGTACGACGGCTCAGCAGACAGCAGTGTAGTGAAGCAGGTGCGGCTGGCTTCACTTACCAGGAGCTCCTCAGTCTACCCGGCCTCCCGCACGGAGCCCTCCCGGAAGCCATTCCAAGTGTGGGTCTCGGGAACAAGAACAACCCTGTAATGATGGGCACAAGGGAAGTAATGGCCAGGACCAGGCAGTCACTGGGTATCATCGCGAGTTTATTCATTGATGTTTGTTTAATTTGTACTTCGAATGTGTACTTCCAATCATTTCTTCACCAGTGCCATTAAAAAGAATAGGTACCGTATAGGATAAATTGTCTCTGTCCAGTTACCACACAGGGCACACTAGTGGTGATTTTTAGGGTTTCCAGAGCCAGGAAGAGCCAGGCGGGGCCTTTCTCCTTTCTGTCACCAGGGTCTAGTCCCATAGTTGATTCTCTAACGGACACGTGACATGGCAGATGCAGAAACTGAAGGGAACGGGACATCTTGACTAGACAGTGCTAACAGTTTACATCGGGAGTTGGCTGAGCACACTCAGATGACCTGCTCGTTTAGAAAAGTTTCTTTTTTTTGAAGACATTTTTGCCTTAGGGCACATGAGCTCACCCTGAGAGAGAGACAGAGACAGTGAGAGAGAAAGTGAGAAGTCACCTCCCCTGGGGAAAGCCATGCCGCAATCCCTTCTCCTTCATTCTCCTTCTGGGATCTTGGGCACGCACGCACACATGCCAGCGTGATTGGGTCCAGGACTCAAACCACAGTCATCTATGTGGAGTCCAGTGACATAACCACTGGGTCATCTGCTGGTCTCTAGAAAGCTTACTTTCTAAATAACAACAGCAACATAAATAACGATAACATTCTGTATATTTATAGCATTCAGATCTTCTAAAATGCCTTTCTTTCAAGTGCCTTGTGAACTATGTAAGACACTATATAAGTCACATAAGTGCTTTCAACAAGGTGGGGGGCCAGGACCAGCAGTTTGATGTAATTTAGGTTATGTCGCTGGACTCTCATGTAGTTGACCGTGGTTCAAGTTCCAGACCCAGCAGCTTGAACCTCATGCTGGGTATATGTGCATGCACGCCCAAAATCCCAAGAGGAGAATGGAGGAGAAAGGACTGTGGCGTGGCCCTCCTCCCTGGAGGTGACTTCTCTCTGTCTCTCTGGCAAGTGCACATGCCTTCTAGCAAAAATCTTTCTTAAAAAAAAAACAGGGGACCAGCCTGTGCCCTAGTGGTAAAGGCTGCTGGATCCGACATGGCCGACCACACCCTGGGCCCGGCAGCTTGAAAAACACACTAGGCATGCCTACTCAATCCTGATAGGAGGGGACAGAGAAGGGATGGCAGTGTGACCATCCCCCATGGGGGCGATGCTTTTCCTTCTCTCTCTCTCTCTCTCTGTCTTTCTGGTGAGTACATGGGCCTTTTGACAACATTTAAAAAAAATTTTTAAATGAAAAAAGTGGGTAAAGAGAGGCACGGAAGCCAGTGGAGGCACACACCCTTCCGGTCATTGTCACCTTCCCAGACATGCATCAGCTGACTCTCCCTTTGGGCCGTCACGCTAGGCAAACGGGTAGCAAACGTAAGAGTAAGAGATGCGCAGATCCCGGCTTCTAATCTGACACTCTACCCGAGGAGACAGAGAAACCTTAAAAGGTATGTCACCACGATACAAAAAGGTGTCTGAGGATGAAGCAGGGAAATTTCCATCCCAGCTGGGTAGTAACTTGCTCCAGTGTTAAATTCCTTAATCTCTAGCCTGGTGCTATTTAAAGAATGACTTGGCGCAAGCAAGCAAACCTTCGTCCCTCCTCACCAGCGTTCACCTCCCGCAGACGGGTCACTTCCGTGCTGAGCGTGAGCAGTGGACGCCCAGGCGCCTCCCAAGGGGAGTAGGATAGGGTTGAGCAGCCCGTGTCGGCGCTCAGATATGTACCTCACACGGGGCCACGTTGACCCCAAATACCGTATAGTCAAGTCATATCAGTCCCGTGACTGAACAGATGAATCCCAACGCACACTCGCTCCATCTCCCCACACTCCCGCAGCCACAGGAACCCTCGCCTTCCCTCCCAGACTCCTGGTCGCCAGTATTCGCTGTTGCTTGGTCCTCCTTTTGACTCCGCCTGAACCGTTGTGATTGGCTCAATGTGTTTTGTCTCCATTTAGGGACCTATCAGTGAGCAGAATTTTGAAGCTTATGTAAATACACTCACAGACATGTACAGCAACCTGGAACGGGACTATTCCCCGGAATGCAAAGCTCTACTGGAAAGTATCAAGCAGGCAGTGAAGGGTATCCATGTGTAGGATCGCGGCGCTGCGGGGCAGCAGAAATCACCAACAGCAGTAAGCTCCAGATGGATCTGTTAGGGGTTCGCGTACTGCTAAGGCCTGGAGATTGCCGCACCTGTATTTACAATTGCAACATTGCACTAATTTCCCCCCCAGCTGACATAAAAAGAAAAGAAAAACTATGATAGACTCTTTGGATTAAAAGCAATGCAGTCAATTATTAGATCTTATTTATTTTCGTATTTTTTCTTTTATTTCTTCATTGCACTCTTTTTTTTGTAAAGTATATGTAAAATAAATGTGACATTTTTATATTTTATTTATTACTAATCAGAGAGTTTTTTATCTTTTAACTGCATTTTGAAGTCTGCCATATTTTTACAAGTGTGTTTATTAATTTATTTTCCAATAAGTAGAAATGCTGTTCTCAAATCACCTATCTCGCTGGGTTTAAATGAAAACACGGGAAGTGTGAAGGAAATCCTTGTCTAAGGATTGCACTATGGTCGAGTTTGATTTTTTATTGCACACTTCTTTCCTCCCTCTTCCAATGATTTTTGTATTTATAAATGGGTTTTCAGTACAGTGAGCTGTGCAGAAGGAATAAGAAGATAAATGTCGCCCACTAGTGGGGAATGCGCACTCACTGAAGCACAGGATGCTGGAAATCAGCCTGCTGAGAATTTGTTAGCAATAATTAAACACAGCAATCAGCAAGCATTCCACTTGGCTGTATGGTTTTAGTTAATATGAATTATTTATTTGAAATGTTTTAAAGAAACATAGCTTTTTTAGTGATGCAGATTTATCTGTTTGTTTTTCAAGTCACGTCAGATAGTTGGCAACTCTTATCCCAAGACGAGAAATAAGACTTGGTGTGACCAGCCAGGTTTTCCTGGCATATGTTGGTACAATATACGAGTGACAATATTGGTGTAGATTTGTACTTAGCAAATACAAACACATCCAAATGGAAAATTTTGTAGATACCATATCCCCTGAAATAGCATTTATCTTACTGGGTTGACTGGAAAGGAATGGAAAAATAGTAACACCTTTTTTTTTAAATGCTATTCTTATCTGAGTGATTACTTCCAACACTGGCAACATTGTCACCCTCCTTAGGAAACCAGATAACATGCAATTTGCTTTTTTAAAAAAATCCTGCTGTAGAACTACAAGCACTACGTAGTATACACACCCAGTCACAAACGTGGGCACATTCGCACACACAAACACTTGTGGACACAGCCACACATGAAATTGAGCCTGCAATCTTGAATTTCTGAATGGATCGAGTTCAGTAGTTGCTATAGTGAAGGCAATGTCTATTTCAGGGATTGTAAAGTAGTTAAGCATTATTTCAGAAGTTTTTTTATATTTATTTTTTTTAAGGAAAAGGTATAGACAACCAGCTAAACTGCCTTTTTGGTGTGCACACACATTTCATGTGCAGACGTGCCTCTGTGTAAATGTACACATGAACTTGGTGTGGGCTTAATTTTCTGTGCTATAACTAAAGTGTTTATTTTTGATTAGCCTCATGGATATTTAGATTGAATGTGATGGCATTCACAGCGTGATATATTCCACTGTTATTACTGTTACCTGCACAATGAAGAGTGATCCACAACAGTAATTGCACTTCCATGAACTCATGCTCATTGTAATGCATTCAGTGGGGCTTCTCTTCGGTCTGGGGTTCATTTGAACTCTTGAATCTTAGCTTAGTGCAAACGAGATGTCTGTTCTTAGGTAGGAACGGTGTTTATTTAAAAACCAATTTTAAAAAGAAAAAAGAGCTACCATATGTGCTGTCTATTATAAATGGAACACCAAACGAAATTTTCTATTAAAGTTACGTACTTGCAAACATTTTGCTATACGGTACTTCATGGACGCATACAACTGAGTTCACTTATCACAAAGACAAAAGTTTAATTTGCTAAGTATTTTAACAAGTTTGGTATATATTTTATTTAATTTAAAATAAATCTCTTACCAACCTATCTATTTATTACTATAATTTACTATGACTTCAGGTTAATTTATTTGTGTTTTTGCCTAGTGGGAGCAGGATGTTCTGTGAAGTATCTATTTATTTGCCTCCTTTGTACTTGATGTGTTTTGTAATGTGCACTGAATTTTTTTTCTTTTCAACTATGTTAATGATTGATACTGTAAATTGGGTCTTTTGTAAACCACAAAAAGGCAATGATGTATGCATTTTTTTAATTTGAAGTAGTTTCTTTGTATACTGTTTCTCCAAACAATTAATATTTCTTACATCAAAGCAACAATATTGTGTTCAGTGCTGTACATTTGGTGTATGGTAGGAATAAAAACTGATCATGAGTTTCGCTGTGATCTTTCTCTGGCTTCTTACTGTATAGATGGTGTCGCCCATGAAGACCAGTTCAGGAGTCCCACTGCCGCAGACAGTGCGCTGGGGCGGGCGGTGGTTCTGACTGCCAGGACTCTGGTCGGCCCCG